ATCGAGAACACTCTCGCTCGCGATCTATTTTACCGATCCCAAGCGATATTCTACTTCACCGACAGCGTAGGACGAAGCGTCTTTACCAACAGGATTTTGCGCGAAATTAAAAAAGGTGGAGGATACAGGATAAGAACGATGAACTCTATGTGTACACCGTTCACGGGGCCAACGCCCCCTTTTCAAGGCGAACAACTCTCATGAGAGATTACATTTTTCTGTAGAGACATTTTCATCCTCTCTGTCTTGCTTTCGTTTTCCCAAAGTACACGATCAGAAAATACTACGAAATTGGTTATGTCTCGATACAGAGATCCTCGAAATTCTTGTCTAAATAAAAATATCGAACGACGAATAAAACGATCGAGCAAAATGTATTCGCACAAAACATGTATAATTACTTATCACCCTCCCAAATGTAAGAATAATGTAGAAAATATTAGAATTAAATATTATGCAACTAGCAGGAAGTTTGTGTATGCAGAATAGTGAAACAAAAATTTTATGAAACAATTTACCATTATATTAAACAATTCAATCTCAGTCACTTACCATTGAAAAGCGTTGAAATGGTAATAAACGAGTCCTTGCCCATACAGAAAGGAGGCATCTTTCCAATAGTCCCCTTTGAGAGAATAAAATTTTTGATACGCCGACATAGCTATCAAAATAAAAGAAATATGTGAGTCAATGTTACACAAGGAAGATATTAAAAAATTAATAGCACAAATCATCAATTACCTTTACTATAATCTTCTAAAAGTAAATGGAAATGTCCCAGCTTACAATATGTTTTAGGATCTATACTAATTCCTTTGTCATCGTCGTCGTCCTTTAACTCGTCGAGATTCATTTTTGTACTGTCTGCTTTTCTACGTTGTTTTTCAGCTTGTGCTTGAACCAACATCCTTTCTAGATATTTAATTGCACGAACAACTAAAGCTTTCTTCTTTGATTGCTCTGGTGAATTTAATTTGAGAAATCCAAACTGCCGACTATATACAAATCGAAAGAAAAGACACAATGGTCAGTAAGCTTTGTACGTAAAAACTAAAAGGAATCACAAAAAAGAAAACTACTTTTAAAATTCGATTACACGTTAATCGTAATACAGTTGACGTGAACTACACGTTATCAGACATGAGCTATGTTTATTTCGTGTTCGTTCAATAATTACAGCGCGATAACTCGCGTCATTGAAATAAAAAAAAAATGATCGTTAAACGTAAAAATGATGGGACCATAACACATATTAACCGAATGTAACACGATCAGACGTATGAAAAGGATGTCAGTAGGTTGCACGCACGTCTTATTAAACCGATCGAATTGCGCGCCTATTCTGTCAAATAACTTTTTAGGTTATATTAAAAAAAAAAAATACACTTGGAAAACACGACGAACGGGCGAAAGATCGAGAAATCGGCATGGATTTTTGTTACTGGAGACTTTGTTTACTTCAAAATCACCTGTCTAACTCCGATAGTATCTGTAATTCTTGAGGAGTCAAGTTGATATCGTCAGTCTCCTGGGCCATTTTCACGCACGGTAAATATACTCATTAAGAACAGAAAGGACACATGTTTACGCGCGGAACAGGCCGCTTTTCACGAAAATCCGAGAGTTCTTTCGATTCGCGTCCTCAACACCCCGTCACCTCATCGGGACGATTAGTTTTTGAAAGCGGCGATCAGGTTAAACCAGGATGGCGAATCACGCGACGGAAGACCATTACCGTGGCTCGCATCGACTTGGAATTCCGGTACTAAAGAACATCGGTCCCGGTAACGTCTTAAAATGGCGGGAAAACTTGTATCCCTCGTTCCTTCCTACGACATATTTATCATGTTTGTTTAAATAAAGTCATTGATATCGTAAACCTCGCTAGCAATCTATCTACACCTTTTTATTTTTATCCCGATATTTCTGTCTTTCGATTTTTTGCATGCTTTCACCCATTACGTGTTGTATCCCTAGATATAGATGGTCCTTGCAATCAATGTATCTAAAACTTGTATCTCTCGTTCCTTCTAGGGCATATTTATCAAGTTTGTTTAAATAAACTCATTGATATTGTAATCCTCGCTAGCAATGTATCTTTCTCAATTTCACAGCAATTTGTGTTTTTCAAATTTTTGCATACTTGGATCCATTACGCGTTGGACTTATTATATTTTACTTTGATCAGAGCTGGACCAATGCAATCACGTGTATTTATTTATACGTACTCGTTCGAGTTGAAACTAATAATAGCAATAATAGTTGTTTCTTTGAAACGGTGATATAGTAATTTGGTTATCGTAACGTCTTCACGTTCTTTAAATTGCGAACAGTCGTTGCGACGTACCGGAGATTGCCGGAGGTTTTGATCTGTCATATTGGTTTATTCGCACAAAGTCGTTAGTTTCATAAAAATCGAAGGTGATTTAACGATTAGGTGAGCTTTATACGTGTAAATATTAACCACCATGAGATATTATATAATTTCGGTATTACACCTGAATTGAATCATGCTCAAACTGCATAAGAAAACCCTCAAGTCAGGAGCAACAAAATTTTTCAAACGGTAGACTTCTACTTCTTTTTGTTTTTTTTTTCACCGTATTTCGGAATGCATTATTCTTATGTTTTGACTGTATTACATACTTTGAGAGGGAATGCAAACAGTCGATTCTGAAACATTAGATTTCTTATAACGGAACATATATTATTGCGAATTCTTGGCAATGCAATCATCGATATATTTTCGTTCCGACGAATAGTCCAAGTATGACTTACTAATGCTTTGTTATTTAAAGACGTGAGAATAGTGTTTCCTTTATTGTATTATTTGCAGGGCTATTTGTGGGAAAGAATAATATGTAAAAATGTAAAGGCTTGAAAATTTGAAAAATATCTGTAGACTAACATGAATAATTGTCAGTTTCTAATGAAAATCCAGAAATAGTAATTTGTTGCTTTCAGTTTCAAAATGAATCCTGCTGTATCTAAAAAAAGCAAAGACGATGCAAACAAAGAAGAAAGTGAAATTGATATCTCAAAGGAGGCAAAGGGTATAATAGACAAAATTCTGGGAGATGTGAGCAAGACATCTGCTACCAAACAGATTATTATTGGCACAACATCAGGATGGTACGCATTGTATATATGTATATTAGAATTACTTGAAAACCTCTTAATGTATTTAATATTTTAACTGCCACAGTGTCTTTGACTGAATTAATTCTAGATGTTATTTTTCTCATAGATACCACTTATGAGATAATATCCAGTTTATTGATTTTATCCATCATTAGTGGTATTGATTTGTATTCTTCTTTCGAATCTATTTGTTACAAATATACATATGTCAACTTGTATTTGGCAAAGTTGTTAATAGATGTTAAAAGAGGGATATATTATATTTTAATAATTCATTTCAACTTTGTATAAATATTTTATATAGGGTAACTGGCTTTGTGACAATGAAAGTTGGGAAAATGGCTGCGTTTGCAGTTGGTGGTGGTATTATAATATTACAAATAGCAGCACATCAAGGTTACATAAAAATCAACTGGGATAAAATTCAGAAAAAAGCTGAGAAGATCACAGATAAGGTGGAGGAAAAAGTTACTGGTGAAGGACCAAAACTCATAGATAAGGCAAGTGTATATTACTATATTTTCTATATATATACTAATGGTATTATTATATAAATATCTGTAAATAAAATACTCATATACTTCACAGGTAGGGCTTTGGTGCCGAAATAATTCGTTTGTGGCAACAAGTTTCATTGGTGGCTTCATTATTGGTTTAGCGTCCTAAATAAAAAAGTGCTTAATATCTCACAAAACTGCGCGAGAATAATGTATATTGAGTACTTTTTATATTAACATTGTATGTTAGCTATAATTTTTATTCTCAATGGCATGGATAACCAAAAATATAATTTATCAGTTAAATTAATAAGATTATTTAAATATAGAGAAACATTTTTATTTTAGTTTTTTAATGTGTAAGTTTATATGTGATAAAAATATTTATGGTACTGTATGTTATGTATATGCTATTAAAATTTTAATGCTTTTAACAAAAGACATGCATATGCATTCAGTTGTCAATTGCGTACATTTATGCAAATTTATGCATTGATACGACTAAAAAAAAAAGATATGGGAATGGAAAATGATAATGGACGTATTGTGAATAGAAAGTTTAAGTTGATTTTGCAATAAACAAAGTGTTTAGAATTTCTTTTTTTTTTATTCTTATTTTGTAAAATACGATCAATATTTGATTTATATCAAGAATTGGCGTATACATCCTTTGTGTAAATTTGTATGCGATGTTTATATATTTCCATATGTTAGAAATAAATAATCGATTTTAGTAACAGAACTTACTGTTTCAGGTCGAGAGATATGTCGATAAAAAGTTAGATAAAGCCGAACAGTTATTGAAAAATGGAGAATCTCGTACTCGTCGTTGGTATCATTCTGTTACTGGTGAAAAGACATTCAAACCTACAGAGTTCCATTTTTTCGTCGCATCCTTTATAGCCGGTCTAGCACTTGGCATTGCTACTGGTAATTAGGTTTAAATATGCTGCACTCTGAATGCAAGTATAAACAAGGTATTTATCCAAAAACTAACGTTATAAAACCCGATAATAAATGTGATGAACTCGTAATGGAGATAAGAGAAATGATGAATTAAAAGAACGTATAATGAAATATACTCAACAATCAACAGTATGTATGAAACAAATGAAAGTTAGAATATACTTTTGTGCCTGAAATTTTGATAACGTTTCCCCTGCAAATTAGCACATTTTTTTTAATGTAAAAAAAAAAAATAAAACACTTAAAAAACATGCATGCGTTTCAAATTACAAATACTTTTTGTACATTTTATAAAGTAACATTAATTACAAATATAAATTGTCAATAACATTTATTTATCTGTAAGAACAAGTTCATTATTTTTCAATTAGTCACTAGAAAAGTAGGTAATATTAACTTGTAGTACATATAATATATATGCATACCCATTCAGAATGCAGCAAAAATAAAAACGCAGTCATTTTAGAGATCGTATCTTTAGGGCATAGAGACTAATATAACCTTAACTCCATTAAGCTTATGTTAGGTATTAAAAAATAATTTGACAGAGCACTTGTTCTTTGTATTATTCCCAATACTGAATAATATAAATTATGTATATATTATACAACATATAATGAAAGATTGTGTTATAATATAACAGTATAAGAAATTTTTTTTTTAAAATAATATATTTTCAGTCTCAATGATATATATCTAAGTTATATGTTTTCATTCGAGGTAGATACATTATTTTATGATATCTTTATTTCATTCAAAAAGATAATGATATTATTTAAGTATCTTTTAGCATCGATGTAATGAATGAAATGGATTTAATACTGCCACATTTATATAGTGCGTATTTGTAGATATATACAATGCAATGCCTGTGTATGTACAAGACAAGGTTATGTACAATTTCAGAAATGAATGTTGCTTATTGCTAATCAAAAGTACTTAGGATTATCATTTTTCTCTGTATTAAACGAACAAATATTCCAAATATGTAAAAAAATAAATTATAATAAAATTGAAATTGTATAAAATAGTGATAATTTAATATTGTCGACTTACTACGTTAAAATCTTTTGAGGCACTGCATTATAATAGTCCTCAATCGTCTTCTAATCTTTTGATCGCCGTTGCAAAAAATGTGCGTTGAATTGTCCCCTATTTGAATCAAAGTATCTTCATCTTGCTGCAAGTATAAACGATGGATGAAAATGTTATAAATTCAATATAATTTCTATATTTATTTAAGAAACATGTGTCATACCAAGTGAATACTGGTAGAAGTTGGACTGTGCTGTAACTTGGCCCCTTGAATGCCTTCTTGATTAAGCTTTTGAAGTAATTCCTGTGGGTCCAAATTACCGTATTCGTGTTTCCTTTCTTTAAGAACCTCTTCTTTGATTGGCGCAGGTGAACCGGAAGAGGTCTTTCGTTTTCCTGTAGGTCTGTCTTCGATACTCTGAAAATGAGATTTAATGAATAAAAACTCCAGGAGTTCACATTTATTCCACTTTCATTTTAATAACGCGTACCTTTATCGTATATACGTTATCCTTAACTTCTAATTCACCAGTAACAGAAGCAAGACTTAGACCAGGTCGTACTTCATTTGGAATTATATTCCCAGCTAATTCTGGTTCAATAAATACGCGACCCTTCTTCCTTTTCAGAGGCAATTTTATAACTTCGCCTCGTTTAAAAGTGATTAGAGCTTTTTCCTTAAACATACACACAAAGTATTAAGATAATATCTGCATAAAGATATCTTGATACTGATATAAAGTAAAACTTACTCCTACAGGGTCTATTACAAGATCTGTCCTATGCGGTGCTGTTAACGGCGGTTGCGTATAACATTCAGGTATAACTAAATGTTCTGGTTTTAAATCTCTAATTAATTTATTAGCTTGAGTGAAATTGAGAGATGTATCAATTGGGCAATGTACTGCCTTCATAGCTAATGGTTGGAATGGTGCTAAAGCATCCAAATACGGAAAATCTGGTTCTGTAATAATACGAAACACTATATAACATAAGTTGCGTTTCTTCGTTAGACAAGAATATGCGTAGTTGATGTACCTGTAAAAATTATAGTATGTTGTGGATTATTACCCCACATCTGAACGAAATGGACTGCATCGCCAAATCTAAGACTGGGATGACCACAAAATACAACACAGGGTTGTCTATAATCGGAACTAAAACCTTCCGCATATGTGGATGTAAAGTGTTTTAATCTAGCATTTTTTACAAGAAAGGCATGAGGAAATGGTTCCTCTGGAAGGTACACCTTATTTTGTTTATTTGTCGACAGCCTAAAATAAAATTAGCATAAACAATTTGGATACTTGTTAAGCTAGCTAACATTTCGAAACGTACCATTCAGCTAAAATATTCGAATATGCTAAAGAAGATTCGGCAACTGGTGATATGAAAAACAAAGGAACTTGCGAGAAACCTGATTTATCCAAATGAGTACTAAGGCATTCGAATAAATCGTACACAACACCAGATGGATAACATGGTATTAAAACACATCCACCTGATCTAAGTGTCATTGCTGAAAAATTGAATTTTTATGTAAGCATTAAATTTCTGATACATACCGTAATTTTTACACGTACCGACGGTCATACAAAGCTCCCCAAGCATAGTATCTGGATTAGCAGTAGGTGTTTGAGTTAAACCTGTTAATATCAACATATTAGCATGTTTCAAGGTAGCTTGCTCCATAGGTCGCGGATGAGTTGTCAATGTTGAAGATCCGCTCACGAATGCAACTTTTTCATGGTCACAAGAAATCAACCAATTACTACTACCTAAACAATACCCAGAGCTTATAGGAGTAACGGTTAATGCACCATATATATCCTGTAATGAACCAATGATTATCTAAGTATATAACTATCAACTATATAACTACTACTAAGCAATAGTTTTATTATATCAATTCACCAGTTTCTGATCATAGCCAACTGTTTGGATATATGATAAAGCTGTATTGACTGCTGACAATGAATATATGTGCTTCCACGATTTTGGTTTAAGAGCATCAGCTAATGGAGGAGGTAAAACATGTAACATCTCCTTCCAATGTTTAGCTAATGTTGCTCTGGGTGTCTGTTCAATAAATTCTACTAATTCTTCCATAAAGAAACGCCCAATTTGTAACGTTGGTTCCGTGGCATAAATAATGCCTTTAAAACCAGTGTCTTCCGTTATGAATGGCAGAGCTAACATACAGGTATAATTCGATATTAAAATAGCATCAATTTCTGAGAAGTCTATTATTTTTTCCAGAGGTGGAGAAAATTCAGGAGTAGAATCAACAAATACTCTGCCACAACATTCTTTTAATTCCTAAAAATGTAACGTAACAAATAAAACATGCAGTTTCATTTACATCTAAATTAAGATACGTAAATATACAAACCCCTTCTATTTGCCAATCTTGATGATTATCGCGTGGAAGCCAAGATGGCAAAGAATTAAATTTAGCGCTAGGAACCAAGGGCATTGGCATAAAATGTAATATGGATTGCATGTTTAAACCGCAATCTAACATCAGAGTAATTCCCTTGAAACTCAAAACCAGACATGGCTTTGTTGGTTCACTCGATAAACAATACTAGAAACACGAAGAATTACTTTTACACTATGATTACTGTAAACACGAAATAATAACGAAAGCTAACAAATATTTAAGTAACATGTGGTTATAATTAAATAAATTATTAAGAATAACCTATATAATCAAATAAATTATGTAAATATATGATGAACTCTTATAACAATGAAAAAGTAATTACCAGTTTCATTTTAAACGTCTTCACTATTACGCACAATTATAAAATAAAAATATTTCGATCTGATGTATAATTACGAAAAATATAACCTCTCACATGAAACTCCCGGTTTCAAAACTTTTTGACACAATTGTTTGATGACAAGTCAAACAGATTTAATTTAATCAATACAAAATATAACATATACATTGCGCAATAAAAAAAATATAAACAATTAAACTGTAATCTTCAATCTCTTCAACTTCTTTTCTTTTAACTTCAAGTTTAAATAATGTGCGAAGTTATCGTGTTATTTGATGGATATTCAACAAAATTTACAGACGGAACAATGAGAGCAAATTGTTCTTGTACATTAATAAAAGCATCTAAAAATATTATCGTTGATACCATGACAGCTTGGGATCGCGAGAAAATAATACAAGGTATCGTTTTGATAATGTTTGAAATTTCTTTAAAAAATATTCAATTATTTTGTTTCAGCACTCACTCAACATGATATTACACCTGATGAAATTGATTACGTCGTTTGTAGTCACAGCCATGCAGATCATATAGGGAACAACAATCTTTTTACAAATGCAGAACACATAGTTGGAACCTGTGTTCATCGTGGTGAACTGTTTTTTGAAACAGATTTAAAAAACGGTAGAACTCTCTACATATGTTAACAGTTATGATCAGCTTTTATTACATAATAGATAAAAATTATAATTATTCTAAATACAGAGGAATATAAACTTTGTCCAGAAGTTAAAGTCATAGCTACTCCTGGTCATACATCGGATGATGTTACAGTATTGATTGAAACTATAGTTTCTGGAAGATCTACTACCTTTGCTATTACAGGTCTTTCTCTTACAAATACATTAACACTTTAAATGTCTTACATAAATTAATCTATACATAGTCTCATAAATTGTATAGGAGATTTGTTTGAAAAAGAAGAGGACATCTTAAATCCATCAATCTGGAAGGATGTAGGAACCTTGGAATTACAAAAGATACAATCAGAAATGAGAGTTTATGTAATAAATTTAGCAGACTTTATCATTCCTGGACATGGATCAATGTTTCATGTTACTGATGACATGAGAAAGATTGTAAGAGACCAAGTAATTAGATAATATTATGGTGATGGTATAATGCAAATGTTTAAATATATTTTGAATATTTCATATTGTATGAGACTGTAGTTTTTACATTCTGGAGTTGTAAAGTAGTTAAAGTTGCAGAGTTGGTAATCAATGAAATTTAACTTAATTCTAATTCATTCTTGTAAAGACTTTATTAAACACTGTAAAGTGTAGTACATAGTATCACAACATCAGTATTCGATATATGTATACATACAATCATAATTATTACATACTGTTCAATTCACAAATATATAGAAAAGGGCATTTTAATTGCTATGTGCTAAAATCCAGTTTGTATGCAATATTATAAATCAATTAAAATAATTTACTAAGTAAATACATGTAATGTAAAAAGAATAGCATAATACATACGTTGTAGGTACAGTTTCTTAATATGCTGCATTTTGAATATTCATTTCTAGGATGTAAACTACATGCTTCAATGTTTTTTTTTAAACGGTCACAGCCAACATCTAAAGTAAGAATTCGTGTATCTTTATCAACCATTTTTATGTCCAGTAGATTTATATTCAGTAGCTTAAATCTTGATGATGATAAATCATAATTAAATATACTTGTACACACATTATGTACATTAAATAGCATTGTAGAAGAAATTATTAATGAACATCTAACAATTCGATAAATTTATTGAATATTGCCATCAGTGACAATATTATGTACTTCTCAAAAATAATTAAATTACATTTTTGCAAACAATATTATTTTATTTAGTTTTTATAATAATTATAGCTTGCAATGTGCACTTCTTAGTAGTTTTTAAAACTGTGTCATGTATTTAAAACATATTAAACTTTCGCTTCTAATGATTTTCGTAAAAGTGATTCATTATTTATTTCGTATCTTTTTAAACTATATAAGCTTTGGCACTAGTCTTACTTGCCGCGTGTTGAAATTTTTCAAGTATACTGCTTCGTTTTAATCGACTTGACTTGCTTACCAATTATGCACACTTTCCATATTTTAAAAACACCTATATGAATACAAACTATAATATAATAAGGATGTATCTTCGTATCATCATACACTTAGTGTCCTGCACCTTGAATGCAAATGCAACTGTATATGCCAGCAAAATCAATTTGCTGAACAACAAATTAAGTTCTATGTCCAAATAATTGTATTACAACTGTAACTGTCCATTCTTATCAAACTATTGCATGATACATCCAAATATAATAATATGAAATCATATCATAACTTTTAGTATTAATATGTATTAGAAAAGTTAACATTTTTAACATACGGAAATGTAGCCTCAAGGATATCAATTTATTGTCACTGTGTTAATGTAAGAATTGTTTATAAATATAGCGTTTTTTTTTTTTTTTTTTTTGACAAAATGTCTAATTCCTTAACCATCTGATATTATACTTTATTGTGTTTATCAATTATTATATTCGAATGAACAATGCATACTTAGGAGATGTAGGTTGGTATCACATTACTGTATCTGATCCAATAGCATTTTAAGATCAATTTTTCCTCTAATAATAATTACAAGTTAGAATCTTCACTGAATAGTAAATTATATATCAACTAAAAATAAAAAAATTTCATTCATCAATAAGAATTTTTTTTGCTCAAACTTCATCAAATTCAAGATTATCATTATTTAGTACAACCAATAAATGTAATATACATTTCAACATGGTATACACACATACGCACACGCACGCACATACAAACTATTTATTTAAAAATTTAGACATTTTTCTAGTTTAAAAGAGTAATAAATCATTTTCAAATAAATAGTAAAGTTTGTAGAACTATATCAATCATAAAGTGAAAGTAACGCGAGTTATATTAATTTCGATACTAATATTTTATAGAGAAACAATATAATGATCGTTAATTTACTTTCATAGTGATTAAAAAATGATTTATGTTAACAATAAAGGCAGCTGATACTGGATATTTTTCAAATTCTATTTACGATAGATAATATTATATTAGTTATAATAATCTGCACAGATCATGAGCCTTTTAAATAAATACATTTATCAGTTGGACATACAGTATTACATATTTAGCAAGGTAAGTTTATTTACCAATATAAATTAGTCTTTATAAATGTCTGCCGACCAAACCTGGCAAGGCGACGCGTGTGTGCAGTGGTAGTGGTCCCGGACTAACTTCTCCCATCACAGTTCCCAGCTGCCCCACAAAGTATTAAACACATCAAGAATCCATCTCTTATATTCTTACTTGTATTATTTGGTGGTACACCAAATGCAATTATTAGAATGGCAGTTTAGAATTTCTAATTAAAATCATTCTTAAAAAAATTACATATAACATGTATAGAACTAAACAAGTATTTGGAATAAAATTTGTTTTTATAAAAGTATCATGATCAGAAATAAATAGTCTACTAAACAGGGAGAAGGATTGTAATTTACATTGTCCTTCTTTTCTTGCAACTTTCGACTATCTAAATTGTCTGTAATCGACTAATTCGTTTATTACACATGCCATTTCAACTCAGAAAATAGAATTCAATTTTAAAAGTTACGAAAGACAAATCTTACTTTGTCTTCTCCGTGTTATTCGTTTTCTGTATGACAATACTTACATGCAACTTTTTGTTGTCAATGTCTTTTCTTGTCCGAAATATTGAACAATATTTTCCAAAGAAAACAAATACCAGAAAAATATAATCAACATTTATAGAAACTATAATACAATGGTAATATGGTTCGACATGAAGATTGCATATGCACGTACCTAGGTCATAATTTTCTCACTAAATATTACTTGAGGTATTGATTACAATATAGCAAAAAGCACGCATATACATCTTGTATCATTTTAAGAAATTACAACTTATCCCGTAATAAAATTACATTCTTATTTAGGATTTATGTCAATTAACAAGATATTACTAAACGATATAAATGTTTATGGCATATTATAAATAGAGAGAACAATTGTTAACACTTAAAAAACATAATTGCAACCAGATCCTCAAAAATGTATACAACTCACTATTATGTAATGAACTATGTTAGTTATATTCACTTTTATAAATGTGTTCTGTTTGGAGAGCTCCTTATATGTGTCTGTGGAGGAACCAAATAGAAGTAAGCAATACAAACGTAAAATAAATTATAAAAATAAGTACAGAAAAACATAATACTACAATAAAAAAAAATTATACGGAACTAAAACCATTCTATTATAACTGTACAAACATAATTGTTAAAAGTTTATCACTAGCAGAGTATATTACTTGCCGATTGCACAATAACGCATTATGTATGAGTTCGAAAAAAAAATCGAACATTAATAGAACTATGTTTATTATATCTTTATATTATATATTTTTTACATTTTTTAAATAAATAGTAAAATATAATGATAATCAAGACTTAAATACAATGCTGTGTACTTTAAGCCAGTTGCAGTGTTATGTAAAAAATACCTCAATAATTAGGTGGGAAAAGTTAAGCAGGAATAAATGCGAGAGATATTTCGAAATAATGTAAGGAAAGCAGATGTAAACAATTATTTTGTCTGTAAAAATAATTTGTTATTACTAGCATAAGTAGTGTGCAAGCGGCAATTTTTAAACAGCATTCTTGATGTAAAAATTAATATCTGAAAAGTGATTTGGTTTCTCATGCAACAGCATTCAGTATACGACAGATCTGAACTAAATCCTTTGCCAATACAGTTACAGTGAATCCCACAAGTATTCATGCTCCTCAACTACTAATTTCGGTCTGTTGATATCTTTTTAGGATAAATGTTATAGGATTCTTATTGATAACAATATAGACTGAATTAATTAAGGTTTCAAGTAATAATTAGTATCTGTTTAGGTCAGTACTTTACAGTATACGCATTTATCAACAAGCATTCCATAACATTTTACCTTAACAATAAATTACATAGGTTCGAGGTCAGCAGTTAAAGGAGTATGAATACTTCTATGAATCACTGTATACATATATGTATACAATAGATGAAATGCGGGTAACGTAAAAGGAAACTAAAGAAATTGTACGGGGTAATGTCTACTCCCTAAACCTTTTAATAACATTACTCTTTTGATATTACTGAAGTATGAAAGTTTATGAGATTCGTTAAATACTGAAAATTATGTTTAATGTTCAATTACACAGTTTTTAATAAATATGGCAATTTCAATGTACTTTTAACGTAGATCAGAATTTTATCAGACCTTTTTTTTTATATTTATTCTAGTTTTAAATAAATTACAATATGTACATAATCTGGAAATTTGCTGTTCATGTACTATACTTCCATAATTTGCATTCATGCTAATATACACCATACTGTCACGCCAACAAGTTTCGAGTGCAGAGATAATAAATAAATATCTTTTGCACCAATATCATTTCTCTCTTTTTTACCTTATTGCTAACATTTCAAAAAATACACTTAATGCATTTTTTAAGAATGTCTTGTTAACATTCCTTGACTTGTACAAAAGGAAGGAAATGTTAGCTAATAATCTAGATCTTATTTAATATTAACGTAAAAAAGTGAAAGTATTATTAAAAAAAATTTTAATGTACACGAAGTAATTATTTTTAATCGTTTTTCCTACCCCACGGATGTATTACAAAGTCTTTAAAAATAATCTTCCCAAAATACTATATATATTTAACGGCTTCTGTCCCGTTACAATGTTCGTAACGGGATAAATCCTTCCATTCCAATGATTCTTAGGTCTTCATCATCATCATCCTCCTCCTCCTCATCATCAATATCATCATCATCATCATCATCATCATCATCATAATCATCATTTCTTTTTCTCTAAAAAAAAATCGGTAAGAGCGCGATCAAATGTAGACTAGAGAAATTACTTTAAATTGATAAAGAAAAAGATGTACAAAAACACAAGTTCTCGATGCTTAAGTTAAATTAATAGAAATATCCTTTTAACATTTAACAGTATAGCTGGATCAGTAGACATTAAACATAATTTTCAAATTAAGAGAAATTAGATGCAGAAACTAGAAGTAAAATGATTTTTTTTATATCAAACTAATCTAAGTTACATGGATGAGGAAGTGTTACACTGTAGTATTACACATATTGATTTTTAATCAATTCTAAGTCGTTAATTCTTCATGTGTTTATTACAGGTAATTAATGACTAGAATGGTTGCATACATTTACTGTAACTGTAAAATAACTTTAGTAAGAAGACTATATGTAGATTCATGCCTATACAATGGCGTTTCAACTTCAGCATATATTTTACAACTAACTGATTTTTTGTCAGTGTAGAAATATTGTTAGTGTTGTTAATAACCCATAAAACCTAATTATGATAAACAGCGATACACAATAATTTTCTGTTATACTAACAAAACTGGATTTAACTGGTAATCAATATGTATACTTACTGTACATAAAAACATTTTGTAACTGCAATTATGTACGCTATTTAATCATTCGCGTGTGTATCACCGCCTTTCTACAGTGAAGAAAAATGAATTTTTTCATGCATATTCAACACATTTTATATGAAAGAATTTAGCATAAGCAATTATCCGCCAAGATAGGAAAGCATAGATTTTGTGAGACTCATGTAACTGCTATTGTTGTTCGTAGAAAGCTGAAGACACTGAATAGAAATATAAGCGTTATACTAAACATTGAAATGATACTTTCATATAAAATGGAAAGACTATGTTGTACAAGTGTTTTCAAGAATGTTTATATGTAAATAGTATAACAAATAGATAATTTTTTAAATAGTGTTTAAAATATAATTACAGGAAAATTAAGTACAAATGATAAATTCGTTTGCACTAATGTACAAAATACTTTCTCGTATATGGATCAGTTTAGTAAAAAATTTAAATATATTAATTTAAATTCATTACTTCTATCTTTTGTGTAAATTAAGAATTACATAAGGTTCATCTGGATTAGTGGCATCTGTGTTGTTAGGCTGATAGCACGGATTAATAGTATAATTGAGATTAGGTTGATGAAAACTCACCGGTTGAATACTCGTCCTTCGTCGCTCCATTTCACGATCTTCGAGACAAAAGTCCGAATCTGAGTCTGCTTTTCTAATAGCTTCGTCCTAGAATGTAACGAAAATTGACATACAATACCTAACAATTTTCTTAAAACAGTTGAAATCTTGTTTTCTTGTTGAAAATTATAATTAATACCTGTGTCATTTGTTGCGTCGTAGTAAGAATTCTAGCTAGAGGGCCGCAACACACTGGTAGTGTTTCTAATAATGTAGGCCTGGAGTGAGTTAAAAGTGGTTTCATGTAGCGAGTATCGAAATCACCCCAGATTCTGGCAAGTAATGCTTTTTCATTAGGTTTTGCGCCACTGACTGGTAATGATCCATCCTGCATAGAATTATACTGTGAAACGTGAAGGATATATTGATTATCCATCCTGTATGATCATGATATTTTCTTGAAACGTAATTAAGTATACAATTATATTTATCAAAGACAGTTAAAAAATTACACATTTAAAAACAGATTTTTAGTACAACATTTAAATAACTAAATTTAAATTACAAGAAATTAATTTGAAAATCACAGTGTGTATGCAGCAATTTAATAAAATATCGAAGTTGGCCAAAGTTTTTATATAACAAAATTGTTCGGTGTTATTATAAGGTATTAACGAACATGCTTGATCGTTCATTGTTACATTGGTGTTTCCCTGTTAATTCTGTTTGGATATGTTTTGTTAATGTATATAAATATTTCGTATACTACTAATCATCAACATACAGAATGGATAACAAAAAGTATACAAAAGGAAATATTTAAGCACATGCTGTTAGCAAATTTAAATGATATGAAGTTTAAATTCTTACTTAATAAAAATGAAATTATAATTTTAATGTGTTGCCAAAAATTGTAGCAATGTATTATATGATGCAATTAATTCATCTTGTACAAGTGAATGTAGCTAAAAATAAATATAAGCTTTTGTAAAATTATTAGTTTCGCAATTTAAAAAGTTTATAACAAGTTAATTCTAGCAACTAAACAAATAACTAAATAATATTTTCATAAAACTTCCAAAAGAAAATAATACACCGTATAACGGTTAAAAGTAAACTTTGTATTAAACAATGATAATTAGTTTGTATTAATTGAAGACGTTTATGTATTTGTGATTTTAATGTGTTTTATCAGTTTAATAATATCATAGATGCTTGTTTTTGTGCATATTATCTTATTATTCTCGGCAAACAATGCATCATTTGTTACGATTGATAGTATGCGACGAGAATTAATGGTCATTGCAAACATTTTAATAAGATAATTTTTATTGCATCCCCATTTTAAATTCCGTCACTTTGTACATCTATTAATGACAGAAAGCAACTCGTATAATACTATTTATAATGTACAAAACCAATAATTTATATTCTACATAATTACGTAATAAAGGATGAAATATGTGCTGTAAAATCCATAGGATTAAACCAGTCTAGATAGACGAAACTTATCGTTGTTAATATATATGAAATATACAAATTGTTTGTGACCATATAAATGGCATAACTCAATTCTTGAATTAATGTGAAAACATACCGGAGGACTTCGCTCCCTATGCATGTCCAGTTCTCCAAAGCCACCTTCGCCACCAGACTATTAAAATTAGCAAGTTAAATTCCAATATTTTCTATATTAATTATCAAGCGCACTTATTTAGGATTAATAAAGCATTCTTAAAATTTTTGTTATACTGTAACAGACATGCTGGAATTTATCAGAAAGTTAAATTCTAGTGCAAGCTATAATTTTAGTAGTTCTAGTGCATCGGTAACCCAATATTACTTAAGTATAATATAACTATAAGAAACAACATTAATGAGTGTAATCCTTTCACACAAGTTAATGAATAAAGAAATTAAAATTTCAGAAATTTTTAACCATGATTTATGACACTGAAAGTGCAGATCATAGTACTTCAAACACCTGGATATAATAAGTAGATGAAAATAGCAGTGTGAAAATAATCTGACTTCAAGCATTCATGCGTAATTACTCTTGCTTTAGAAATCTTAGAAAGAAAATATTGTTATGCTCTATATAGAGATCATTTTATGTAAATTTAATCATTGCTTATGTATCATGAATGAACAGTTTGGAAAAAAAACAACAGTGAAGCACGTTTGAATTCTTTAGAGATGCTTTCTGATATTAAAGATTAACTTTATCTATAGAATGCTTTAAAGGAAAATAATCTTATTAAAATTTTGCTTTCGGTGATTGTCTTAATTTCCCTTGCAGGAATCACTGATTCCTTCTTTGATATACATAGTAATAACAATAATTAATATTCCATTTCATGTTAATAAGCAACATAGCTAGACATGTACGCACTGAGAAGAAATTCGAAGATTTACAAAAAACTAATAAAAAATTGCGTTCCTTTAAATGAAATATATTAGCAATACACAAGCTGAACTACATTTCGATGACTATGTTCTTTTTAAAATGGCTATCGCTAAATATTACTCTTGTTGTATTAGATCTAGCACACAAATACGTTAGTGCAAACACAATCTCATATTACTTTACTGGGACTGGTGCTTGTAATTCGAATTTAATATTTTTAATAAAAATATGGTACTTACACTTCGCATTCCATTATGCGATAATCCTTCTATTTCTTCGTCCACTCCGACTCTGAAACATGACCAGTTCAAATATTATTAGAGTGAATAATCGTGTATGTAAAAATACTTATAAGAAAATTCGTTTGAACTCACGGTATATTAAACCAACTCAAAAACTGAGTTGTTCCACCACCTTGGAAAATCACTGTTAAAATTACAATTAAACTCGTCGTTGTCAACATAGCTTGTCGCGCATCTGACACAGTATTTCTGATGGCTAAAGCAAAACTCATAGCTCCACGTAATCCAGCGAAAAATAACATGTGCTGATAATTTAACGATATCTTCGGCTTTCGAGCCAAGTTTAATACAAAGGATAATGGATATACGTTTGCTGCACGACCTAGTAACGCACAGAGCTGTAAGGAGGGAGTTAAGGATCTTGTTTCTATCATATGTCATCGGATTAAAAAATAATTTGAGAACTCAAGGATACGAATCCTGCAAAAATAAATCCTGGATCGAAATGGTGTTTTGGGAAAGTAAACATTGAAACACCGATGTAACTGAATATAAAATTCTCAGCTAAAAAGTTCAAAAGCTCGAACAGCTGTTTTGTCCGTTGACGAGAATCTGGACTTAAATTATTATATGTGTAATGTGCTTGACATATACCACAAAATAAGACCGCAACCACACCTGTGTATGAATCATTGTTTAAAATAATAATTATGTTACTAGGAAGAACATTATGTAAATTTAATACAACCTTTGTAGCACTTATAAGTAATACAGTCAGAATATGGTTTACCTGTAAGATCGGATGCTTCGGCAATTAAGAAAGTGCTGTAAGACATTAAAACAAACAATGCTGATTCCAATAGAGGAAAATCTCTAACTCTAGTAAATTTAGTTAATAAAGCAGTGATACAGCCCATCGTAGCGCCAATAAATAAAGAAAGACTGAATATTCCAACAAAATCACCAAATGCTTGGAAAAATGCTACAGTTTCAAATCTGCCTGAACCTGACTGATAACGTTCCGCATAATTCTGTATTGAACTGTAATAAAATGTTTGTAAACATGTTTAAACTTTAATAAGGTTACTTAAAGAGATCCAATATCTTTTTGTATACATACCCACTAAGTACAATTGCCACTGCATCATTCAATACGCTTTCCCCAAATACCAATGCATACAGATTTACATCTACGTGTAAATCGTTAAATATTGAAATTATCGTCAGCGGATCTGTAGGAGATATCAATGCGCCGAAATATAAAGTATCCAGAAACGTGAACGAAGCAGAAAGATGCGGAATTAATTGTACAAACGCATACATCAATGCTCTGAAAAAAGATAATGTATAATACACATACAAGTGAAATATATGATTAAAAGAGGTATTTCATTGTGTTACATATGGAATTTTTCTTTGTCTTTACAGACTATGAGAAAAATAAGAGATAACGACAATCTAAATGACCTATGAACGCATATTTATCATAAGAAATAACGAATACAAAAGCTCTAAAAGATGAAAATAAACTTGTTATTTAGTCCAGTAAATATATGTTTACTTAGTTAGACACACTTGTTCAAACAAATAGGACATACCCTATAACAAATGCTGATATTGTTGTCCCAATTAAAGCATACATAAGAATTGCTCCCAAATTTCTAAAGAAATATTTCTGAAATAAAAAATTGCAAAGTTAATTAGATTGTGCATTTCTTTTAAGTAAACGTCACAGGTAGAAACAATGAACAAGTTAACATATGGTAACATTACTTACGCGTTTCAAGCTATAACCAGCATGGAAAATAATTGGTGGTAAAATGATGTTGAAAAATATTTCAGGATCAAAGGTGGCCTGTAATAATTTAATTATATGAACTCAAATTGCACGCAAGTTGTATACACAGTTTATAAATAACTTTGTTAAAGTATTATACCTTGAGATCAATTTCATTATCTTGCTTATAAATCTCTCCTCTAAATGAATAAGCAAATGTTTTATTCTTAATATCGCCGCCTCCTTTATCTTCTGGAAAACGTAACCATAACGTATCCGGAGGAACGGATTGATTATATTTACTACTGTTGTCTTGCACAACAGGCATGTGAAGAATGGTACTACTTGTTGTGAAGCCATAACGAATTATTGCTCCTATAATTAATCCTGAAATATGTTCACAAGTTTTTATATTTTATTCAGAAGGCCAACTTAATATTTGTATTCATAGAAGTACTCATATTTGCATAACTGGAATTAACCTTATATAATTTTCTTATGGTATACACATGAATGTAACTGGTACAAGTACAAACGATTAAAATAACAATTTTTAATGAGTATTACTTATTGATATTTCAAATCGCTAATACACAAATTTTACTTTTTCTACGCTTTTTAAATTTATTATCGTAATAAATACTCTAAAAAAATACATTTTAATGATAAAAAATACATATGAATATCCACTTAAAAAGTAAATTTTATCATTTATTTTGAAGAACAAATGGCTGCAAAATAAAAACAATCAAAATAAGATATCCTATTAAAATGATCTAAAACTATATAAATATTTTTATATGACATAAATGTATTTAAATATTCAGCAATATCCTTGTTTACAAAATACATTTAAAAGGAGCATCGTATTTAATTTTCCTATTATATTGTACAGTATAAGGTTTAAAACGTAAAAGTATTTAACACGCGTATATATACATAACTATATGCAGTAACCAAATGACAAAGGACTCGTGTATATCTATGTGTGAGAAACAAAATTGAACATTGCGCAACACAATACAATTAATAATTGTAATACGTAAATACTGACTATAGCAGACGACTTACCATAAATGACAGCTAGACCAGTTTCATGGAGGAACCTAAGTCGACGATGCTTAAATGTCCATATTGTTAAAACAGTTAATATCAATAGAAATGTGTATAATAGAAGATTCAAACTATCGAGTCTATGCAACAACTGTGCTTTCGCATCTAATTCAATGTCTGTCGCGGCCCCGTTACATGATTTTAACAAGAAAATACACAAAATTGCGAGGAGAAAAATTCGTGCGCCGCCTTTCACTGCCATCTTTACTTTATAACCATTTCCTAATTAAACTGTCAGTTTAACCACAAACGAGGTATAAGGTAGACTGAACATTCAATGGAAATTGCTGTCGCCTGAACAGAGGCAACGTCATCAGTGGTGACTTTGGGAACTAATGTTTAAACTCTACAGATGATAAGGATCCAACAACGTTTTTCCAGTTGAATTTATTTAATACAATGCTGCTAGCAGTTTCTTTAAAAATACTTTCTAAATAAGTATACCTCCCATTAAAATGCTTTTACAGTGGTCTGACCCTCTTGAGGTTAAACTTTATTTTGAGGCACCAAAAATTATGAACTTCTTTTTTGTACCATTTAGTAGTTTTTGATACCCAGATTACGAAAATGTAAGTTAAAATGTTAGGAATTCAACAGAACACACTACATATTCGTTATAAGCGTTCATAACAAACGTTCACACCATCTATGATTGTTTGTTTACAACAGAATGGCATTACCGACCTAATTGCCGACCAAACCCACGGTCAAAGCTAATAAATCCTAAGTTAGGATCGAATATTTTCCAAAGAAAAGAAGGTGCAAAAAAACAGTTCATAATTTTTGGTGCTCCAAAGTAAAGAGCAGCCGTTTTATTTCTTTTCTTTATAATTTTTCTAAAAATTAACCTCTATATGCGACTATCTGTATGATGAAAGAAATGAAGATTTGAACAGACGCGTGAATTGAACGGTCATCCGTGCGAACCAATCAGAGAATGAGTAGAAACAATAGGCAATATGGCGTCGTACACAGCCATACTCGTATCTTTTAGACTATTGGTTTCCTAAATTTTTAACTTGGATTTTCGGATTTTCGGGTCGAAAACTACAAGATTTGATAAGCTTTAACCAAAAGAAACGAGCTCCTAAAACAGAGTTCCGAGAAATAGAATTGATCGATACCCGTTGTCGATAAATGTAAAACGTACGTCCAAAGTACGTCTTTACGCCGCACTGTGACGACACCTTAGCCTTGTAGAAAAGGATGAAATAACTATAATCGTCATTATCTTTATCCTAATCGCCTCGTTTATGTCGCGGACGTGCCGTAGAGTTTAGTACAGTTTAGTAGCGGTTTGCAGCGGTTTGCTTGATTGTCGAAAAACACGTGTGAAGTACAATGAATCTGGAGGCGTACAAAGAAATTGTGGCAACATGTGCCTCGATTTCAACTATGGGACAAATGTTGGCTGGAACGTGAGTTAAAATAATTAAAAAATATTCCACTTTTTTTAAGATAGTCTACATACATACCCTCGTGGTTGCATGGCGCTTAATGTCAATTGAATGAACCGTGTTTGCCGAGTCAAAACATTTGACAAAACGAGCAAACGTGCACATGTTTAACACAGATTTATGTTAATTTTAGTATAGATTTAAATTTTTTCCATTTACATTGTCGTAACGACGTAAAATACTCAATGAACAATCGATTCTAAATTAACTATATCTTACACTGCAGCAAAACAATTTGAGTTCGTATTAGTTATTTATATATTATAATTATTAGCTATTGATGCAATCTAGCGTACATGTATATTAATGATAGTTCTTATGTGGTAGTACAAGTGTAATATTCAAGTTCTTATTAAAGTCTAGCATATATAGGATGAAATTTGATAATTACTGTTGCTCGTTAAAACCAATAAATTCAATTCTATGTGCTTGATGGGTAAGAGTCTTTGATGGTTAAATTAACGAATTAAAGTTTATTAGTTTAATAAAAATGTTAAACTTTCTTTCTGTAATAGCAAAATTGGCTTTTTATAAGCATAAAATCGTATTTGAATATGCATATTATTATATATATTAAATACACTTTCTTTTTATAAATCAATAATTTTCTATCTACTTTCCACATAATTGTTTTACTTATATTTGGAAATGAATTGTAGGTTTTATTGTTCCCTAATCAATCTCTTATATTAAAATATTAGTTAACATATATATCTGTTTTATTTCAGTAAATGTAATTTTGTAGTATTTTCTTTTTAACTATATCATAGAAGTTTATATTGTAGTAAAGATAATACATATAGAGATAAATAAAATCAGATATTGCTGATATTATCAATTGTTATCAAATATTAGTGATACTGATTTATTTGCAATTAAAGCTAATGATAAGTATAATTAAATAACAGTACTAGTACACACTTGCAAATGTTCTTAGTAAGAACTCCTTATTCATTGTTTCAATATATGCGATGCTTTGAGGATCAGATAACAGTTCTGGAACATAATCCAGAGGTAGAATGATTCATGAATATTTATTCTCATGGAATCATTTAATGATACATAGTAAGAATTCATGCAGGCAAATTATGAATAATTACGAAGCTGCAAAGTGTTCTGTAGATGTCCTATTATGATCTTTCATGAAGTATTTCATCTTTTGTGTTTCCATATTTTCATTTGATATCTTTGGTTTTAATACAATTACTTTTGAGCTCAAGATGGGAAAGTTTTCAGAAAATGTAATATATTAATTATCAAAAAGTAGTAATATATAATAGTTTTTTCTCTTTTAATTATAGATTAATATGCAAGGATATTTATCAAAAGGGTTCTTCACAAGGTGTTGATCCAATGCCATTTTTGGGTGGTATAGGAATGTGAGTGTAACAATTTAATATTTACTAACTGTGTTGTCCTTGTGGAGTGAAGTTATCTATGGATGATTTTAGTTTGAAAAACATTCTCCTTGTCTGTTTTTTTGTTTGTAACTGCAACGAAAACTCCTTTGACAATGAGACACTACAGTCTTTGGAAGCTTAATAAATTATATTATAATTTTAATTCTATGAAATGTTTTCGACTAATAGTTTCAATTCTCTTCAATAAAATCTAAAATAAATTTAATAAAAGGAAAGATTATAGGCTGTAAAGACAAACAAAAAGAAAAGATTTGAAAATGTTTGTTGAAAAGTTACCTTCAAGTATTTTTTTATAATTATTTTACATCTGTTATGAAATAAATATTACATAGATAAGTTAGGTTTACATAGTCACTGAAGAATTTTTTATAGGTGCATTTTGATGCTTCAGTATGCATTGATAGTGAGGGATCCTGCGATGATTAATGTTAACGTTTTTGGATTACTCACAAATGTAGCGTACATGGCTGTGTATTATTATTTCACACCACACACGGTACGAGCCTTTATCCATTAGATAACATGCATGACATTGCTACTTGATACATTATTTTTTTTTAATATCACCTCGCTTCCACTGCTTTTCATTTTGAACTTTTTTAATTGAATTCGTATAATATATAATAATTTATCTCTAGTTATATGGTAGATGAGGTGGAGATATTAATTTGGCAACAAATTTAGAGTAGAATGTAAATGAATAGATATAATGAATTAGGGAGAGTATTATTTTATATATTGCAATATGCCATTTCACATTACTCCTTGCACTACCTCCGGTAATAAAATTTGTAAAATTATAAATGTACTGTTAATTTGAGATTATGAATTGTGGGAACTTTGACATTTGTATAAATACTACCTCAAATCTCATGCATTTTTAGAAGGATACACGTACTTTAATAGGCAAGGCAGCAGTTTTTGTAGCGGCCTTCCTTGTGTATGCTCAAGTGGAAAATCCTGAGAAGATTGAATTCCGATATGGTTTAATTGTGACAGCATTACTGCTCCTCCTAATAGCATCCCCACTCGTGCATCTTGTAAGTATATTTTTACTAATTATATGTTTGTCTTTTTAGAGAAATGAAGCTGATAACTATAGCGAAATCATTTCATGCTCTGCTGGTTATTGCATTGATTTTTCATTGACCCAGATGTTTTTTGTATGTCACGGTGTTTGTTTATCGAAATGACCGTGTCTGGCGGTCAGCTGAAATATTTATAACATTTTTGTCATACTGCAATAATTAAAAAAAATTGATAATATATATAAATGCCGATTACTTAAATATCTGTTTCTATACTAATGCTATTTATCGTCGGAGAAGAGATTATATGTATAATATATAATATTTTATTTTTATACTATTAAGAAGCTACTGAAATTACTTTGATATATTAAAAGTTATTACGTAATGTCCAAAAATATATACACACATATACATATTCATTGATTGTGATGAGTGGACTATTTAAAATGATACAAGAAACAAATTATATAATATACTTTGTATAAGAAATAATATATAAGTTTCTTATATAGTCCACCCATCTCATTTAAAGAATATCACCAATCTTCAATAATATTCCAAACTATTTATACAGATATGTTATTTGAATATTTGTTTGGTATCACATTATAAGCAATATAGAATGTCGCTAATGTGATATTTATTTTGAACTAAAGTACCTTTTATATGAATAGTTTTACTTAAAATATAAAGAGGAATTATATTTTAATATAGCTAAAAGACTGGCACTGAGTTTTCATTATGAAACAATTGTCGAGGGGTCATGTTAAATTCAAACAGAGGTTAATTGCCATAAAACGAATGATTCTCTGCTTGTACCATTAAGATCATGAGCGATAAGTTAAGTGGACTCACATCGCTGGACGATAGTGTACAGTGTGACTCTTTCGCTAGTTGTTCAAATATCATGCTATTATTGTGCTGTAATCTTCCAACGAATATAATCATACTATAAATCTTTAGTAACAGATGTGTATTTTATATCTTTTTTTATTTACCAGGGAGAGATTATAAGGACGAAGAATACGGATATTCTTCCGTTTCCACTCATTTTTATGGGTACTTTCGTCTCTTTTCAATGGCTGTTGTACGGCCTTATAATTAATAATGGTTTCGTTATCGTAAGTATATATTTGTTTATTATATGTATTAACGGATTGCGTATGGTGTCCTACTCGTCCCACCTGCATGCAGTCTTCACATTTTTCGACGTGCTACGAGATAATGAAGAAAAATGCTCATTCTCATCACTGTATTCTTTCAATTTTCAGTGAAAGATTTTATACATTTAATACATTGCTTACAAAACACATGTTTTAAAATGGCGATAGCAGACCAGTAATTAGAGCGCAGGTACTGCTTCTCCCAAGGCCCTATATTACTGTCATAGATCTCATATTCATGAAGCTAATTCTGGCAAACATTTTCCTTGTTTATACATATTTATAAATTTTACAACCTCAAGTGACGTTGCAGAGTATTTCCTATTCAAAAATTTACTTATATGTTTATTGCAGGTATATTAGAGGATTACAAATATTAATCATCTTTTATCTGTTTAGATTAAAATTATGCAACAATTATTGGAACATATATATTCCAGCAGATACAAGAGAATTAAAGAATTCTCTCATCAATAATTTCAATAATAATATACGCGTCTTGCAATTTGTTAACTATGAAATTTTACATTAATATTTAGTAACATATTTCTTTTTTTTATAAGTATTATATGCGTGTATACAAAGTATGACCACAAATTATAGAACACTACGTATACATATGGTATCTATGATACAAGTGGAAGCACGGCCGCGTATCTACGAATTCACGTAACTTGAAATTGCGTAACTCGAGGACTTCTTGTGCAAAACTTTGAATTTTCATTAGTAGATGATACTCGACTCGTCGCATGATAAGAATTGATTACACCAATCCTAAACACTTGAACATAATGTTGCTTGAACTAATATAACGTGCACTATCATTTCACTATTATTTAATTTTCATTCATTATTTCATAATAATTTTGTCTTTCAAATGATAAAATAGTGAATATTGCTGACATGTTTCGAAATCTTTTATTAAATGAAATCGCAAAATTATAATTATTACAGTTATAGTTTACATTTTACATTTTACGTCTTACAGGGATTCTTTAAATGTTTAGAGTCTGGAGACGACACTGATAAACTAATCTCTGCATAACATTAACCTTTGATTTCCAAGAGTTTTTAAGATATTCACGCTTGTGTATATAAAAATAATATCTTACATAATAACACTTTTTATTAATTTTTAGTGAATTTGTTTATACTTATATTCATTTTATCCACGTACAGAGATTATATCGCTACCATTGGACCCCTAATCGTCATGTTTTTAAAAGTGTGTTTTACGTATATTTTTCACGTGATTCAGACATCGCAACTTTAACCGTACGCAATGCGTTGATACGAAAAAAGAACAATCTTATCAAAACAAACCGTGAACTAACGTTCTATATTTAAACAGTTTCAGAACGTCGTAGGTTTTACCCTTTCTGTGATACAACTGTCATTGTTTGCGATATATCCATCGAAATCGAAAAAAGACAGCCAACGCAAGACAGATTAAGGAGAAAATGTAAAGAAATTATAATTGTCTTATTTAAAAGAAGATGTATGTATAACCATCTTTTAAGAAGATTCGAAAGACGTTTCAAGGGAAACGATAATTGCTTTTACATAAATTAATTACGATTAATAATTAATAATCATTAATGATATATAATGACAACGAAAATAAAGCCATCGCTAACATAAAGTGTATAATTGTCGAGAAACGTGTTACCTCAAGGTATCGAGATGATCCTATGCGCGTGCAATCCAGTATTTTAGTAAATGTAAATTGTATGTACAAATAGGAAGATTTGTTGTAGGTTACATTACTAAACCAGAAAGAATAATTGTAACACTATTTTACTTAGGCAATTGTTTAAATAAATACATTTATTTTTGATTGATTGCTTACAGTGTCATTCGAAATCAAATGTTCCCGCTACTAAAGATATATAAAAATATATATTACAATTATACTATTCAAATAGTGTACTATAATAAATGAAATCCAATAGTATACTACATAAATAAAAGTAGAAGATATGGCGTTCTATCGGCTTTTCTGTACAGCCTAAATGCATGTGAATAATTACAAATGTATTTATTTTATTTATAACAATATTTACCATACAGCCAGTGCTAAAAATTCCTTCTAACGTTTCTTTAGGTACTTTTTCTAATTCTTACAGAATCCAATAGTGGTAGCGTCTGCATACAATCAATGCGTTCGTAAGGAAATCCCAAGATTTGATTCATTATGGTTTAATTGTAAGTCTATTAATACAGCCAAGATAGTTTCTGAATGATTGACGTAGTCGTACGTGGATCGTTGAAGTGGACACCGGCGCGATCAAGAATAACCAAAACCCATTACCATTTCACTTTCTACGGGGCTGCGTTACGCTGCATGCAAATGCAAGTCCGCCCGGCGGACTTGCTTACGTTTCCCCCAGCGATTTACGTCCGCGGTGGCTCGTTGGTAGTCGCTCATGGTATATCGGCTTATTATATGAGCGACGTACATCATCGCCTGACTTTCCGATCGAGTTTGCTGGTTAATAGCAGGAAACAGTGACCTTCTATGTAGACAGTGGCGTCTCGTATCGTTGGCCAGTAAACGTGACCGATTTTGTCGACGGACACCGATAGTCCATGGCCTTTCGTCGATCGTTTTGTCACACGGGTAGCTCATCGTCGAACAATTACGCGACAGAAGTAGAAATAAAAATAATAACAGAAGTCAGAAACTCTGCATGGTCTGGCATGTCGGTCATTTATACATCACAGGAGTTTTTTCTTTTTTTTTTTTTTTGTTATTTTAAATAAATTCTAGTTATCGTTCAACTCGTGCGTTTGTAAAATCGCAAAGTATGGATCTTATCGATCTTCCACGGGTAATGTTCAGGTACGAACGAATACAAGTGAATAGTATAGTAGATGCAATTCAGTGTATTTAACTGCAAATGTTTATAAAATGATTTAAATTTTATATATAGATCTTTGCTCTTTTAAGTGAAACGTCTAATTTACAGTAACTTTATTTATATTTTGTAGAGACGGGTTCTCATCTTCGCGTTTTATAGAGCGATCTTTGCTCGCCTCTGTTTAAAATGATCAAAAGCAAACTTTTTTTTTCCTCCGAATCAGTGTATTAGTTTAAACCACTTGTATTGTTTATTCGTTGAATTTTATTCGTTTTTATTGGCACCTGCGATAGGTGAACTCACCGAAAATAACTGTGCGTGAAATCACGATGGTTTGTCAGTGACGTTCGCTTCTGACGAAAACTTTTCCGTCTCTTTACGAGCAATGAGCGGCTCGTATGCGATAGCAGATGCCTGTCTCGTAGTGGTTCAAGCGAACAATGTATCTCTTAAACTTAATGCCTCGGAGTAATGCAGTTTGTTCAGGAAGTTTGATATTCTAGTTACTGGAAAGGAGTCCGAAGTGAAATGGGATGAGGTAAGCGTGTCACTTTTAATTTTCCTTAATGAAACGGTAGAGTTCGTCTCTAGTTTTGCTTAGAGTTTTGCGTGCACGAATATTTCGTAGATAGAAAAATTCGTTGTGACAACGTTCGATAGACATTTAATTAATTCCGCGCGTCAGTAGAATTGAAAACGTGCACCATTGGCGTTTGCTGTACGTGCACGCGTCATTTTTCGTGGATGACGTATAGAAGGAGTCGAGGCTGTTAGTAATAAAAAGCAATTTTATTTCTAGGTTCCTCTTGTTCCTAAAATTCTTGTGTTCATCCCTAATATTGAATATTAATGTATAATAATAATTACAAGTGATGTAATGGATGTTCAGTAATGTTTATATGCGTACTTATTATTCATAATACTATCGGTATAAAGAATTCTTTTTCCCTTGTCTTAAATATTAATATACAATAATAATAATTCAGATTCTATAGTGATAGAAACGGAGTCGCATGATTATTTGAACTTCTCATATAATCAGCCATGTTTCTCGTACTAACAGTGTAATTTTAATTGCATTTATATATTTATTTTGCAGTTTATATATTTACATATTTGCATGTACAACAAAAAGCAAACGGAGTCGCACGAACGTCTCATATAATTTACATGTTTCTCCTACTAACAGTGTAATTTTAATTGCAAATGAAATTTCGATCATCCACCGATAATAAGCGTCGAAGGAACGGGAAAAGGACGTCGATTAACGTTGAAACCCGTGAAGGGAATGGGTTCGATCAGGGCTGTTTTAACTCGCGTGTACGTCGCGCATCCAGGAGATTCGTGTCCGCGCACGGTTTCCTTCGGGATTGATCCCGAGTATGCGCTCCAGCTGGCTGTTTGTATGTTCACACACAGGAAACTAGCTCGGTTAACGTGAAAGTGGTTCTGTTGTGTGGAGCTGGATTCGTTCCAACACCTGCTGCATCCCCTGAACTTCTTGTCGCGTCGACGTCACGTGGATCAGCCGACGGTTCGTATGACTGAATATCGCGTGATGAATCGCGTCCAGAGATCGATCAGAGTCGTCCACGCTGACAAATGGATTTTTCCGTGTCACTATATGTACACAAGCTTCGGGAAATGTGTTTCGAAAGCCCGACCGTCGGTAATCCTGTACACACGTGCTCCAGGTTCCCTGCGGGATAAAGGAGGAGGGAGATTTACCTTCCTCTTTAGAAGGCAAACCAGTCCTTTTTAGTTTCGCATCCGCGGCTATGGAAATTTTTTTATGTAATCGTTGGATCGGTACTACGGGAGACAAATGTAACAAGGGTGGTTACATTTGTTAGGGTTTGAATTATTTATTCATGGGGAAGACAATTCGACGTAGTATTTAGTATGCAAAGTAATTAGCATTTATAGTAATCATTCATGGTAATTAGTATGCAAAGGGAGGGGAACTTTTGTAGCGGTGGTAAATAATACCAATATAATAGATACAAGTATAATACTGTAGGTTCTTAATTATTATCTGTTCGAGGATAGAGGGTTGCTTTTATAGAGTAGAAGAATTATTCTTCTTTAAGCTACGTATGAAGAAACATTAAAGAAAATTTTCGGACGATTAGTATGATGGATGTTATAGTATAATAAGTGTAGATGATTTTATTAGATACATTTATTAAGTATAGAATTTGAATGATTAATTTAGTTGATGATTAGAGGGAAACGGAAGAATTCTTCTGTTTGGGCTACGTCTAAAGAAATGTCAGGAGGAATTTTTGGTATTAGTAGTATGGTGTATATTATTTTATAAACGTATCACCGAATATCTGAATTATTAATTATTCCGAGACAAGGGATGAATAATAGAATTATTGGGACAGATAAGGTCTTTTTGAGACAATTTTGAAAAAAAATATCACAAGGCATTGTTTGCACTGATAGTATGGTGAATATTATCACTATAAACATTGATTATTAATCTTGTAATAAGTAACCATAATTGTTATTCTATAACCGCATAAATAATCGCGATGCACGCGATAATGTTTTCCTCCCTGTTGTTGTAGTTCTGTCGCAGTCGATGCGAGCTACATAGTTTTTCAATCGCCCTTTTGAAACCACTCGGTAAATTATAGACGTTACAGAAAGTAGAACGTTTCCTGTTACGTCCACATGGCGCACGCTCGTCCAGAAACGGCAGTCGTCCTCCCCCATTGGACTTAATATCAATTTAGAGCACAATACAGTGAGTATTTCGATGTCGTCTAATTTGCTTGAACGTGCATTAAGTATACCAGGACAATTATAACCGTATCCAGTAATGACGAGGACGCACGAGCTGGTCAGATGGCTGCAACACGTGCCCTTAAGGGTCTTATTAGCAATAGGATATGCTAAATTGCAGGCTTCGAGAAAATTAAGAGAGAAAACTGGGACAATAAGGAGAAATTCAGTATATTTAATATTAAGAATTGCAATTTTCTTTTTTAGAAATTTCAGACACTTATGAAATGAAATTACCGTAGACCTTGCGAGCACAATATTATGTATTTATGTAGGTAATCGGTAAAATGATTATTTAAAATAATGTTACACTTTCCTTTTTTAATTGTTACATAATTTTAAAATTATAATTGATACTTTTAAATTGTTATAATGAAAATTTTAATATCAGTCTAAATAGCGATACTTGGTTCTGTTATTTGTGTTTGTGCTCTTATATACATTGTTATACAACAAATACTATTATAACAACTCTCAACCGTCGATTGTATCATTATCTTACCAATGTACATAAAATCTGAAAAAGAAAAGTTTAATATTTTTCACCTTGTTAATTTACAAATTAATGATATATAAAACATGCGAACAATTGACGGAGATCAATTGCTCACTCTTTTTTCACAACGTAGGGCACAAATACTACAGATCTAGTAATTTGTGACTCGGGGCAGGGTATTGTATGGCGGAGACAGATGCTACTAGATTGTTCGGAACGCATTTATAGAAACTTCCATATGACAAAAGTTTCCTTCCTACATTGTGTCTTTTAATACATGAAAATATCCTGTACATCATTCCTTTCGGAAAAATTCTATTCCAAATATACGTGTATTAAATAATTACTTTAACCTTTGCTTATATACGTTTGAGAATTATCCGGAAGCAGCGTGAAGTTGAAACAAAAGATCTTACTCTTTAATACTGTCAGAAGTTTTTGGTCTCCTTTTCTCGATTTTGGCATAACGTCGGAAGAAAAGTTTCCTCGAACGCAACGTGAATTTTTTATCGCGAGACGCAGAGGATCGTTTTCCTCATTATTCTCGGTGCGTCAGAGTTCACTTCAAGAAGAAGCGCGTTTCTAAAAAATATCAGGCTACTACAACTCTTCGTTCTCTTTCCGATTCTGGAATTATGTTCTCCCTCCTCCACCTGGCCCGTTAAACTTCAAACGCAACGCAGAACTTTTGTTGGAAAGTTTCAATAGCCGACGACATTCTTATTCTTTATGTCAGAGTTTTCCAGAAGCGACGCGACCCTTCTAAAAATCGCTAACAAATGATTTCTCCCGTACCACCTTGAAAATAATTGCACGAAAATGTGAAACAGTCTCGAAGGTATAAAAGTAACTGACAGTAAGAATAAAATTAACATTATAAAATTCCTCTTTATAATAATAGTTCTTTTCTATTGTTTCTCTTGAAATTTTTGCCCTCAGGGGCTATAGCTATGATTGATTGTAGCTACGGCACGGGTTTAGCAATCCCGAGGTACCCGAGCTATAAGGGGGGCAGTGGGCCCCAATAGATTAATCTCTATTGCGTATATTATGAAAACAAGTATCTAAATGGAAAGTAATGCAAAGCTAGAATTAAGTGAATGCGTAGGATTAATATACAATCATTCATTTATAGAAAGTTATTACAAGAAAATTAGAACGTGCAACAATACTGTTTCTGCAAAAATGGTATATGTATTTCTTCGTAACGAAAGATTTAGGATTTAAATATATTGTTATCTAAATTATTATGGTTCTAAAGACACCCTTAGAAAAATATTGAAAGTTATAAATTCGAATAGGAAGAAATGTTCATATAGTGAAGAATCGAAACTAGAAATAGAATAATTACCGAGGACAATTTTTTATTCGAATAAAATATCGTTTTATGCGTCCAAGTAATGAAGAACGTTGTACACCGCTACAGAAGAGGGTTAATATACATATATAATTAATCTACAGAAAGCTATTATAAAAGAATTGGTAACGTTCGACAAATCTTTACTGTTTTTCTAAGAACAGTACACGCGTTCTTTAGAAATTATTCTAATTTCAAAAGAACTATTACAAAATTAATAAATGTTACAAATATAAGTAGCAAGGAAAATTCGTTGAGTTAAAAATGAAAATTAGAAAATAGAATAGTCATTAGGGTTGTCACCTTTTATTCGAATCAAATGCTATTTTATTCCTCCAAGTAACAAGAAACGTGTACCACTACAAGGGAGCCTCGATATACAATCCCTCCAGAACAAATTCTTACTAGAAAATCGTAGCGTTCAACAATTTTTTTTCTTTTAGTCAGCGCGAGTTGGTTCGAGAAGCAACGCGATATTTCCGAAAAATCACTGACATCTGCGACTTCTGACGTCTGCTGTAAATGGCTCTCAGGCAGGCTAGGAAAGAAGGAAGGGAGGGATGGATGAGGGCAGGGCACGGGGGATGAGCAGGATAAGACGGAAAAAGAGGGAGATCCTGGCCGTCCGGCTATTCCGTACACGGCACTGTCCCGCAGGACACGTGATTCGACGGTTTCGCGAAATGTGTAACGCGGTGCTCTAACAGCGGCCCCCCTTCGTGGCTGTACGTTCGACTCGAGGCGTCACCGAGATTTTCATCGCGGTACCCGAGAAATTCGTTTGCGTGCGCGCGAGCGCAACTGGTGCGTCTAATCCGACCGCCAGCTTCCGTAACGAGTGACGCAAGTGAAGTGACATTGCCGTTATTGTTGGACGATTCGTTCTGGAAGTCCTTGACTGGTAATTATTCATCGTTACTTATCCGACGGGGTACCCAAATTCGTTTTGTTCCAAACGCGAGTCTCCTGTCGTTTTGCATCGGGGCACAGCGCTTCGATTACAGGTGCTAGACAAACGAAACTATTTTTCCCATCTACTTTTAGTCCGATTAAATTTGGTTCAGTAGAGCATTTTTCAAAATTTTTCGAGTACCGTGCCCCATTTTAACATGGTAGTAAATTAAGGAGGAAAGCTCGTCCATAATTAGAAATTATTCATCGTTACTTATCAGACGGGGTTCCCAAATTCGTTTTGTTCCAAACGCGAATTCCCAATTTCGTTTAGTTTCGAAACATGATGTTTTTACTGTAGAGTAGGGGAGACCCACCGTTAGAAAGAGAAAGAAACCGTGGTACCCTATCTATGTCCGTCTTTTTCTTAATGCGAATGCAAAGATGTATGAAATTATTGAACGTATAAAGGATAACCATTTATCACTAACATAAAAATTACATAAAAATGTCCTGGTAGATAGGAACAGGTTGGGTACCGTGGTTTTCTGTAATACATATCCCATAAAAAACTTCGAAATCTGTAATACATATATCTACGAGTACAGTGGTCCTATTACAGGTGTTAGGGGAACGAAACTATTTTTATTCGAATTATATTTGCTTTGGTAGAGTGTTTTTCCAAATTTTTCGAGTCGTGCCCCACGTGCTCCATCTTAGAATAATAGTAAAAGAGAGGAAGGGATCTTGGATGCGTGGAAATCACAGCTTTATTCAACAATGTATTTTTTTAACGTAAAACAGACACATTAGTCGTAATTCAAGTTATACGAATTCGCACCCCTACAAATAAAACCTAATCACTCGCTACAGAAGAAGGTTGATGTACAATAATTCATTCGTAAAAAGTTATTACAAGAAAATTGTAACGTGCAACGAATACTGTTTTTGTACCGTTATTCGACAATACTTTTTTTTTTCAAAACGATTGACTCAGTGGAATAACGAAAAGATAACTTTTTTTTTAGATTTTTTAAATAAAATAACGATTTCGGAGCCATCGAGGTATTTTAATTCGTGTCACGTATAAAAATGTTCATTCGTAACAATAGGTTGTATCAAAACAAGACAGTATTCGACGGGCATGTGCACGCAAATGTATTCGACCGGATTTTTCTATACATATATCAATAGGATGCTTATTGGCATCAAATAGAGACTTCGGTATACACACGTTTATACTAGGAATGGAAAACTTTTTTTTTAACACTAGGTTGAATAATTAGAAAAGTATCACTTTTTCTATTTATATGACATATGATTCTATATGATTTCATATAACGTATATGATTGCATATCATTTCATGTAATTTTAAATTTTATTTATTTTGAAACGACTCAGAGAAAAATCAATCGTTGAAATTTTTATTAAATACAATTTTATTCAAGAAATATCGACCACCTAATGGTATACATTTTTCGATTCAATATTTCTTTTCATATATTTTACTATAACGACTACAGATGTTCACTTTTAAATTTATATCTCTGTAATTCGAGTCAGTGCCCCCAAATATCAGTCGAGGCAGCTCATTTCCCTACGAATACTCCCTTAAATTTCCTAATTGGAGCATTGGGGTTGATCTTCGCAAAGAAGCAAAGAACTCACAATTTATTCGTCAACTACTGTATACAGAAACGACAGGCTGTCTTCTATTTTCTAAACTTCTTTGATACAGAATTTGCAATCTCAATTTCAATTTATCATCAATGTAACCCTAACATCCAGCACTACTATGATTATTTATATCAGTACGATTTCACGTTTAATAATAATTCAGAAGTTTGTTTAAGAACATCTTGTTCAAGACAAAATTAATTTGTTTCTTAAATCTCCCCTGTCGTTTCACTTACAGCGAATTATTTACTTCAGATAACTTCGTCTTTTGTTCTAAGCAATTTTTGTAAAAATATTTGTTTAATAGCTTCACTCCCTCGTAAGATTTAATCGTTCCGTTTTAAATGAAACACCCTGTATAAATAGATCCTTTTTTGACTAGATTTGAATTGCTCATATCATTCGAATACTTTTGTACACTTACCGATCGTCTTCAACGTAGCCTAAACGTACAATTTTAATTTCTTTTTATGAAAAGGAACTTATTTCATTTTTTAAGATTTTTTTAACAGAATTTGAGTTTCAATTAAACAATGACTCTAAGTTTAAACAATGATTAGTTGAGGTTATTGCGAGAATCATTTCGATGTCGTTGATACGTGGCCGACATGTGTCATTGGGATACATTTCTGATGCGATCTTGAAAGAAACAAGTATTCAAGACACGCCTTAACATTATTGTATGTGATGCAAAAATGTAAATAAAAAGCGAACGAAATATTATGGCAGAGCATTCGGTAAGTAACAGGAGTATCGTGGGATTGCAGCCCTGTTGTTGAAAGCTTTGAAAAATATTGAAGTAGCGAATGCAAAATTGAAAGGAAACAATAGGGATATACCTAATCATATACATATACTATAAGGCAATTTTTCTAATAAGTCATTAAATGAGTAATAATTATTGATTAAATTATGTAAAAGTTTATTAAACTTAAATAAAAGTAGAACATTTGAAAGACGTGTTTAAATTTACTTTAAAATAATTTAATCGATAATAATAGTTAATCTAAATATTTTTCTAATTCTCCTAAAAGAAAAATACTTCCGATGAAAAGAAGCTCATCATCAGAACTCATTGTATATGTACATGAGTATTTTTCTTAAAATAGGGAAACTGATCCCATTAATTTGTATTAGTTAGTAAAATTATATTGACTACGAAGAGGAATAAATACACACACACACACACACACACACATATAGATTATACATATATACGTACATAAATTATTAGAGAAATTATTTTATAGCATGCAAAAATTCCAGGTCGAATTTCGAAGTTATAATTATGTATATTACATAGGCACGAAACTCATTATTGCCTAAAGAGAAAGAAAAAGAAAAGAATAATTTTTTTTTTTTAATGCTAGCTCATATACATAGGCAATATTTCTGAAGAAGCCAACTGCGACGCTGACGAAACGTCGTGGTATCTAATCCAAAGAACACGTCTTAACTCTTTGCACTCGAGGCTTTTCTTTCTGGTATCTATTAGCAACTCGAAATACTTTCTTAGCATTCTGTTGTCACGAATGCTAAGCTTAATCAGGTCACCTTTACCCTCGCCGACAATTATTTTATCGACACTTGGATTTTCAAAGAAATGAAACCTAAAGAAACGTTATTGTTGGTGGTTTCAATGCATCAAACCTAGCGATGACCGACAGTCAGCTCTCGAGTGCAAAAGGTTAACACCCGGAAGAATCAGTATCAACCACGAAGAGAGCAGGGCCGCGATAGCTTCGGATATCTCGATCGAGTAGAGGTTTCGCTCATCGAACTGGATGGCCCACGGTAGTGCTCCTTAGGGCAAAATCATTAATAGGGGAGGGGGGGAGTATTTATTTCAGGATATTTTTCTAGTGACTCCACGGTCGTCCGCCTAGCCGATCGTATAAATAGAAGTTGCAGATGCGTTCGCGAGATACGCGCGGTTCCGAATTCACCGATCGTTAGACATTTTACCCGCGAAAGACGGAGACCGAGCGCAGGATCGTCGATTGTTCCGTTGCGACAAAATGCTGTAACTTGTTGCGGGAACGTATAACGAAACGTGAGTGGCGAACTGTTTTACATTTTATTCTTTCCATGGTTGCTCGAGCGGTTTCATGTTTCGGTGCTGGTGATACCGTAGATAGGGAATCTTGGGGGGGTAAATATGGGTAGTGTGAGGGGTGGTAACGTAGGCAACGTGGTTGATATTGTTCAAATGCTTTCAATGTTGTGACACAGATCCTTCTTGTGCCTGTCGTAACTGTTAACAACACTGCGACAGCGGATGAACGCTATTTTCTTGCTGCCGCCTTGTCGTTGGGACGCTTCAGGTATGAAAACTGGTACATTCACTGTTCTAATACTAAGATAGAGTTATGCGTTAGATTGGCGAAACAGTTCGTTCCGATTTTAACGCTGAAATAAACAGCGATTACTTTTAGAAATGTATTTACTCTTTAACATGTATCAATTATACCTATATAACCCATATTTTTGGAGGAATTATCACGCTATCGTAAGATCTTGAAAATTAAAATGGACGTTCGATCCAAAAAGGTCGAGAGACGCTGATCTTATCACTGACACACGCGAGGTGCAAGGCTTCCGATTGGTAGAATGCACCTCGCTGATCTGATTCTACTAATCGGAGGCCATTTCTACCGAGTGTATCCCTCAGAAGCGGAGGTGTTCGAAATATGAGGTCACTTCTTACGCGACAAAATTATTTCGACAATTTAGACGGTTAATAAAATTAATTTGTGGAACACAGTTTTGTGATTATTGAAAAAATGCTTCGAGAGTACGTGCGCGTAGATAAAAGTCTGGTATTCTACAATTGTCTTCATAATAATATTACTTGTTAATGATAATAATATTCATGATAATAATAATTTTAAAATAAAACTATGAATAATATTAAACTTTAAAAAATATTAATTTTTTTCTTAAATCTTCAACACTTGGCTTACAACAAAATTATTTACTTCCTATAGTATCTTCGTTTGTGCTAAATATCTTCTGAAAAATCATTTTTTTTGGTGGCTTCATTAAATATTTAACCACATTGCTTTAACTGAAACATCCTGTTTGGCGAAATGGGTGAAACGGGCCGAAATTAACCGCTTTTAAAGAAATCGATATTAAAAAAGAAAAATTCTGTGTAATACTGGGTACACTCGTCCAGTTTAAAAAAAGTACTAATTTTACTCAATCACGATCGCTAGAGTTAGGGAAATGTATTTCACCGTGCGACTAGGATTAAAAAAATATTCGCGTGATGAATACGAAAATATTATAAATTATCAAAATATTATCTCTCGACGTATTCGGCGAAGTTAATTGCGCGAAATGAAACCAGTTAACGCTTTCTGGTACTATTCAACCCCTATAGTGACGTGTTCCATATGCTTTAGGCCTCCGTACAACGATAACTCATCATTTGTACTAATATCAGCCAATTATCTCGAATACGAACAATCAATGGTAGTCGATTACTTTTTGATACATCTATTAAGATTACTTTGGGTAAAACAGGCATTATAATCTAAAATGAGAAATTTTTAATTATCCCCTTTCAATCATAAAATTCCATAAACTAATAAACTCTAGAATTAATCGAAACAACAGAAAATCTACACAATTCGATTATTTGATCTGCATATTTGTTATAATATTACTACTAAACTTAAATTACCATTGATTCTTACAAAATTATTTTGAATCTGCTATCGAATAAATATTTAAATAAATGTTTGTCTAGCTGTTCCAAATCGTACGTTCAATTCGAACGTCATTAAAAAACGTTACCTCGTTAATTATTATGTCAGCGATACAACAATAAAAAGTCAGTTGCAGAAGTATGTTGCCAAATAGAAACCTCTCTCTAGGAGAAGACTCCTCTTGGTGTATTTATTGCAGAGTATTGCAAAACTTAATGCACTCGAATAAAGTAGGCCGTGTGTGAGATACGGCGAGTTGATTGAATAATTCTGTAGACTCGAGTAGCGAATTCGTCGAATTTTTGATGTTTTTCTTGACATCGTAATTCGTTATCCAGACAGTAATTGAAATTTCGAAATCGAAACTATGTCGAAACTGGTTCGGATCATTTTTGGAAAATTACCATGAATTTTCTTCGCTTCGCGATACGTCGTTTTCAATTAGTGTCGTTATAGATAAATTTCTCTTTTTCAGCTGTTCTCTATTATTAGTGTAGCATAATCACTAATTGCATTCAAATTGAAAGTACGATTTGGTGCAACTAGACAAATATTTATTTCAATAACTGACATATTTAGTCTTCTCTTTCGTTAAATACCCATTAGTAGATAACAAGATTTAACCACTACACATTTTCCACTCCTAACAGTCGTCGCTAATAATCACGTTTAAGATTGTCGTAGCTACGTTAAATCTATACAAAAAAAAAAAGAAAGAAAAAATGGCGAATGAAAAAATACAAACGAGCAGTATCAGAATTATTTAACGTTACGGGAAAGCCTTGTTTCAATTTTCCTTGGCATTTCGACAAACAAAAATTCTAGAAAATCGGTTACAGTCGTTCGAACCAAAACACCCCTCCAACGAACGGTTGGAAAATCGAGCCGACCGAGCCCCAGGACTCTCGTTTTTCATCCGTGGGCGAATCTAGCCGCGTATATCGCATCGGCGAAGGTGCACACGTGAGCGAAATTGTGAACGGTCTAATAATAACTCGCGCACTTACTTATATGGACGCTTGATTTTAATTCAGGCAAAAACGTCGGGCAAGACCTCGTCCTTTTGGTGCGCGGGGTCAGTGATCATCATAATCAAAAAACGCGACGAGCATCTGAAAGCGGTCAAAATCGTCCGCGGAGTGGCCGCGCGAGGCTCGGGGGAAAGATCGTTCTGCACGAAACTCCTTGATCTTGAGTTATTTTCGTCGGTTATGGTAAAGACGCGTCGTGCCGCGTCGCCGGCGAGACAGTACATACGATCTGGAATAAATCGCAACTACCGTCGCGTGTCGTTTTCAGGTACAAATAGCGAACAGAAGCGTTTCGACAAAAGATTCGTGCCAGACGGTCCTTTATGGGAAGCCGGGGGTGGATCGGTTAATCGTGCGCCGAGCATGAGGGGATGAGTCCTCTCGTGGAATTATGGGGGGTGGTAGAAGTATTTGAGTAGTTACAATGCAATGCATATTTATATGAATTATTTGGGAGGCAGGGTCCAAGTGTTTGAAAAAACGTATAGGTACTTAGTGTTTCGTTCTATAGGAGAAGTAGAGGTGAATTGGCCAAGTGTGGGTTAAGTAGGGGTGAGTCTTCTTGAGGTACTTTTTAAATAGTAGACGAATTTAAGTAACCAACTACGATACTATTTTATGTAAACTGATTATTGGGATAAGAACATAGAGTTATTTGAAATATTCGTAATAGACGGTTTGTCCTCTGTGAGAGAAATAGGGGTGGATTGACTAACTGTGTGCGAAGTAGGGGTAAGTCTTCTCGTGGAATTATTTGGGTAGTAGAAATAATTGAGTGAAACTACAGTAGAATTTTGCGTGAACTAATTGGGAGATGAGAACGAAGCATTTTTAAAGATTCGTGCCAAGTGCTTCGTCCTCTGTAAGAGGTAGGGGTGGATTGACTAATTGTTCGCCAAGTAGGAATGAATCTTCTTAGGGTATTATTTAGATTGGCTAAGAATTTGAGTAGTCGACTACTAGTAGAAGTAATTTATGAACTACTTAGGCGATAAGATTGAAATTTGTTTAAATATTCGTACCAAGCTACTTCGTACTTAACAATGAACTGAATGATAAATTTAATATTGAAATTCAATAATATTGGGTTGTCCAGAAAGTCCATGCCGATTTTTGACAGGTGGTGCAGGTCTGAATATGTCGAAATGGCTGAAAACAAATAACATATATATGTACATCCCTTAAAAGGTGGAAAGGTTGTGGAGCAAAATGGTACCTATGTAATTCAATAAATATATGTGTATTACAATTCAAATGTGCCTTTGAAGTTTTCTTAAAAATTGCCACGAACTTTCTGGACAACCTAATAAAATACGCGTAATAATAAACTTCATACTAAAATTCAATAATTAAACACACCCAATAATAAACTTAATACTTTAATTTATCAATAAAGTGCCTGTCACGTTACATATAAACTATAATTACTACAAACTACTATTAGTCTGATTTTTCTCTCCTTCCTTGAGAGACTATTTAGTAGAATACAGGACAACCAAATCCTATCCGATCATGTATATCTATGAAACCAACTAATAAAATTAACTAGACGTATGATAGATCAACCGTGGGGAATCGACAGTTCGACCTACAAGACCACCAAACCTCGCTAAATTATTATTCATCGGGGTCATATTACAGAAATAATTCATGTCGATTTTAGTAAACTCTATCGTGCAGCCCTTCAGCCGATTAAAGACTCATTAGCTGGCCTTGTTCACATTAGTCCAACTCCCTCTTCGATTCACTTAGCACTGATTTATAAATAATGTATTAGCGTACAAATTTATCCGAAGGATCTCCAATAAGTCTTTAGAATTTTACTTTTTATTAACAAAGTACCTCGGTCCAGATAATTGTATAATTGTAATCATGTACATTTTTATTTAAAATTTAAAAAAAAAAAGTCGTATATTTACGGTACCATATGTATTTTTTTAAAAGACAAAATTCTAAAGACTCTTGCCGAAAAACTTTGATATAAACCGTGTACGTTAACGACACCATACATGTTCGATACAAAATAATAGTTATATAAATACGAGTTGATTATGATAAATGATTTTAACAATGACTATGAATTTAAATAGAAATTTAAAAAGATTTTTAATTTCTCTTCATAAAACTTTTCTCACACGTCTATTTATTATATCTTCAATTTGTTATCGTAAAGATTTCATAAATGAAACATAAGTTCTTTGTAATTTTCTGATCGCTGCATCAATCGATATTTCATTGATTCTAGGAGAGACAACAACTATAGAGTTCTTACTCATCTTCTTAATATTTAATGCGTATTTTATAATTATATATCATAATTATTAATTTTATTACGTTGTAATAAAAGTCTTTTTCAAAAGATTTAAAATTCTCCGCTTCGAGTGATCTCCGTTCCGAATATCCGTCGCTTCTTGCACAAGATGCATCGAGTATTTCAAGAAGATTAACCTGACAGATTTGAAATTTAAAACATTTCGAAAATAAATCAAACGCTCTGCGCTCATATCTGACAAGCGTTTCATCCTAATTCCATGCTGAATCATTATACACATACAGACTGGTAAAATGTCACAAAACTTTATATAATCAATTTTTGTGGATTTCATTCACGTAAGAATTTTCGTTCTGTAATAAGAAATAGTCGGATGGAGATACTAAATTATTTACTTTTTAAAAAATAATATATGTCGACAGATGATTTTTTACATTTCCATATCGTCTCCCTTCGCAGCAATTAAACAAATAGTTTGAGTAGCTTGTTTTACTGTACAAAATATTCAAATGTTATATAATAATATTCATTTCCATTTCTATTATAAGTAATAGATAAAATCAAGCAATATTGATATTCTTTGTGATAATGAGATATTATAAAGAATAATTGTGGAGGATATTAAAAATCTTGCTTGGAACAAAACAAACTAAATCTACTTCTGAAGTGTGTTTCTCTTTTGTGGCAGGAAGCGAGAGAAAATTATCAAAGATGTACGGCCTAATATTAGAGAACTTGTCCGAGTACATACGTCAGGTCTACGGAGAAGATAGATGGGAAGAGATTCGACGGCAGGCATCCGTGGATCAACCCAGTTTCAGTGTTCATCAGGTTTATCCTGAGAATCTTATACCGAGATTAGCAAAGAAAGCTATTCAGGTGAGCATCGCCTCTAATCAAGATTTATTCTTTTCGTATAAAACATCTTCTTCGAGAGTACCACAATTAAACACTCTTCATTTCTTACTTTATTCTCGGATTTTCCAATAAAAATGTATCAATGTTAATACATAATTTATAAAAATGAATTTTTCTGTAAACTAATTATATACTAGATACTTTGTTGTCCCTGCTAATCTAAATCCAATCTCACTTTACATTTTACACTTTACACTTTACACTTTCTATATCTAAAGATCTTATTACAAGTTCGCAGCCATTAGCTCGGTATTATTCGTGACGAACAATACTTGGCCATGAATAATACCGATTACCAGGTCTCACCACGTGGAGGTTGCTGCGACTGGAGACCCAGAGATAGAAGGAATCAAACTTCCTTCTATCTCCCCTTACATAGAGTATACATACGTAGATGCATACCCTACGTAGAGTAGACGAGCTTAATACTAAGTACGTAACTATGAAAATCAAAGGAAAAGAAAATTCCCTTCGATTTCCAAAGTCTATGTCTGACTCTACCAAACAATTATTCGAACTAAGAGGGTGAAGTTAAATTGAGATCGCGACATCTCGTCTCGTGCGCATCACTAATTGCGAGTAACATTCATCTGTGAACATCACAGAATCATTTACCTCGTCGATTCTTCAAAATTTCAACTTAAATATGTATATTATTAATGAAACTTCCACGAATGAAATTGATCACAACTAACTTACCATCGAAATAATTATACAAAATGCATCACGTGTATAAAACGAGCGACTAAATATTGAGTTTTATTTGGATTCACGGTGGTGTTCATGACATTAATTTCGTTTCATTGTATAATTTTCTTGAAAGTTCTCGATTTTCTTAAAAATCCTGAAAATTGTATAACAAATTTTTATACGTATCAATACGAGTTTCACTTGTAAATATTAACTATCCGACTAATAATATCCTAAATACTCAAAGTTAGTTGACCACTCGAACTGTGATTTATGATATATTTGTTAGAAATGAGCAATTACAAAATCACAGAAATTACACGAAACTATAGCCAGTTATATATTTCATTGAGACTTTCAACTAGTGTCTGTATTTTGTACCGATAAACATATTTGTTTGTGATACGCCTGTCCCTATTCAATTGAATACATATCTTCGCTCATATCGCAGGTACTTGGCATAACGGAGAAAGAATTTTTCGATCAGATGGGTGTACACTTCGTAGGATTCGTTGGCCAGTACGGTTACGATCGTGTGCTTTCAGTACTTGGACGTCACGTAAGAGATTTCCTTAATGGATTGGACAATTTACACGAATATCTCAAGTTTTCCTACCCGAGGATGAGAGCACCTTCCTTTATTTGCGAGAATGAAACGCGGCAAGGTAAACAATCATCGAAAAACATTCGTGATAATGTTCGTTGCATACGTTGCATTTCTATACCTAAACTTATAAAATATTAATATATATTTTATACATTAATATTTTATAATTTCTTATTATACTTTATAATATAATCTAAATGCATAAAATATGGTATGTATTATTATATAAAATATAAATGTATATGAAATATTAATATATTCATGAATTTCTTACGAATAAAGAAACAAATATAAGAATTTATAAAATAATATATATAGTACATTTTATGAATTTAGATTATATTATATTGTCATTGACGTTCATTTACAAAATATATTCAAATTGTAAACAGAAATATGTAAATGTAAAATAATGTATAACATTGTATGCTTAAAAATTGTATCGCGTTGGTTAAAGGAGATTTATTCTCATAAGTAATGGATGGACACAACTGATTTGAATACACTTTCATTTTCTTCTATTGCAGGCCTGACCCTCCATTACAGGAGCAAACGACGTGGTTTCGTTTATTACACGATGGGCCAGATAAGAGAGGTGGCTCGTCATTTTTATCACAAGGAATTACAGATCGAGCTGGTGCGCGAGGAGGTCCTTTTCGACACCGTGCACGTCACTTTTCAGCTCACCTTTGATAACAGAGCTTTCACGCAAGCCTCGCTGGCGATGACCCGCGAGGAGAAGCATCTGCCCATTGGTGCATCGGTCCTGTTCGAAATATTCCCTTTTTGCATCGTTTTTGGGTAGGTAGATTAGTTGATCAAGATGGACGAAATTTTTGTTCACGATGGAAAATAAATATAACACATACATATAACAGAAAATGTAGTAGATAAAAATCAGAATATCAAAATTTCGAGTAACGAACAAAGGATAGGGAACCGTTTACACAGTATTCGTTAACACGTCGGCTGCCAGGCTAATAATCGTGAAAATTTCTATGCAGCTAAATTTGCGTTTCTATGCAATTAGAAATGACATAATTTAACATCTATGGAAGTACTTGTTTTTACGATCCCTTTAGAATTTACTAATTCTATCAAAATTCATTTTTTTTTTCAACATCTCACTTTCAGAATTAATGTATTTATTCCTCGGTGTAAATCCTTGTCAACCATACGTGGGCGACGTGGCGATCAACGTGTTAAATAAAAATTCAATCTTTTCGTGGCGATTTCCTATCTCGACTCCAAATTTATTTTTGCCTAAACTTTCTAACTAGTCTTGCAAATCGATTTTACTAATGATAGAATTATTACGGTGATAGAAGTCCGATATGAAATCTCCCTAAACCTAGATTAATTCCGTAGTTATGATTAAATAAATTTCCTGACGCATGTCGCTATAACGGTACATTTTTTTGTAATGTCTTAATTTTTACGTGGGACGTGCTATTGGTTTTTTTCTAGGTCAGACATGATCGTAAGAAGTATCGGAAACTCGTTGATGGTAATATTACCCGATCTCGTCGGTAAAAAAATCACGCACTTTTTCGACCTCGTCAGACCGCTCATTGCATTCAAGTTTCACTCGGTAAGCCAACTCCTTCCAAATATCAACATTTTATTTTTTTTTTTAAGTATCAGTTTAGTTTAAATAATTCTTGATAATTTTAATTTTTTTCTTTTGCATTAAAACGGTTAAAACTCGAAGACTAATATTACGCTCAATTACAAAGAAGAATTGTGGAAAAGTGTTTCTGTATTTTATATTCCTTAAGTAATTTCGTTGCTCGAAATAACGTATGCGTTGCAGATTCTGAACAGAACGAACAACATCTTTGAACTGGTGACCGTAGAACCAATTCTCACGGAACGGCCATCCGACCGGCAGAGAAACGAGATCTTTTTGAGCGACGAGCTCGACTCCGTGGACGACAGAACTTTGAGATTGAAAGGTATTTTTTAAATTTACCTGTATTAAATTTGATTTTTCATGAATCCGTACAGAATCCGTACAGAGATCGATACAAATATACTTATCCTACGATAGATTTTACTAATAACTTGTTAATATTCCTCAGGTCAGATGATCTACATGGATAACTGGAAGATGATGATGTATCTCGGTACCCCCGTCATGCCAGATTTGAATGCTTTGATCGCGACAGGCCTCTACATAAACGATCTCTCTATGCATGATTTCAGCAGGTACGGTATAGTTCGTTATATTCTTTAATTGCCCTGAATTCTTTCAATTTATTTCCAGCAAATTACTCTTTACCGTAGTATTACTTTATCGTTAGTGTAGTTGACAATTATTAGGTATAGAAGTTCTCTGAAGAAATTCTCTGCCTCCACATATAATTATTCATAACACCAATTTAGATAGAAATATTTACCCATCATTCAGTTACAAAAGTTTGTTGCTGGTTAATGCAGCAGCCTGTCAATCTATCGAACAGAAATAGAACATCTTGAAGAAGAAAAGAAGATGCTATCGAATGAGAATATTCCCAATCTTTTGTCTCTAACGCAGACGTTCAGACAGTTTTGTATAATCTACATAAGGGAACGGTTGCATGTTACAGGGATCTGATGCTAGCTGGTACCCAGCAATCGGTGGAATTGAAACTAGCCCTGGACCAGGAGCAGCTGAAGAGCAAAAAGCTGGAGGAGTCGATGAGAAAGCTGGATGAAGAAATGAAACGCACGGACGAGCTACTTTATCAGATGATACCAAAACAAGTAGCGGATCGTCTGAGAAATGGAGAGAGTCCCATTGACACCTGCGAGGTAAGCATTATTCAAATATTTTAACGCATTCACGACTGGTTTGATACTTTACGTTTACTAATACCAAGTACTGACAAAGATAATACAATTCTGAAAGCTGGACATTCGATATTTTTAAGCAATCAGACTAGCATAGCCCCCTAAAATGATCATTAATGATAAGGAACGATTACGAATGATTTGACTGTAATTAATTGGTATGTTTTACTTCCCATCGTGGACTGTTTCAGATGTTTGACAGCGTTTCGATTTTATTCTCGGACGTAGTCACGTTCACCGAAATCTGCAGCAGGATCACACCGATGGAAGTGGTGTCCATGCTAAATGCTATGTATTCCCTTTTCGACACGTTAACTGAAAGGAACCGGGTGTATAAGGTATTCTTAGGTAGTAAGAGTTAGCATTTATTTGTCCTCACACCCATACACTTGCTTTCTTTAGAAAACAGCGCAAAAAGGGTATAGCCGTATAAGGGAGAAAAATGCGCCTTTAAACCAAAGTCAACTTGAGATAAATCGTTCAATCAAAAATTTGTCATTTAATAATAATAATAATACAGAAAAAACCTTGACCCATACTATTTCTTTCAATTTGCTATCCAATGATCCATCTCAACTTGAATTTAAATTAGAGGCACGTTTGTCCTCCTCACGTTTTCCTTACAAGAATCATGTTCTTTTAGAATTATTTTTTTAACACGATTCAATTAATCTCAATACACGAGTATTCTCCTCAGTTTGCTCTCGATGTTCGCAAATGTAATTGGAGGAATGGATGGTTCTTTGTCTAGCGAACAACTCAATTCCCAAAGCGGTGTATTATTTTGAGATTCTAATATACCTAATACTACAATATAGTCCTAAGAATGAAGTTATTCAGGAGACTAACAAACTATGTATCTATTCCTTCGAATACATTTCAATTATTCTGTTTACGTAGGATATGAAACGTTCCGATTTCTTTTATATACAAATTCCTGAATGCTATTTTCTTCCTTTAGGTGGAAACAATCGGCGATGCTTACATGGTAGTGTCCGGAGCACCAGTGAAAGAAAACGATCACGCGGATCGCGTTTGTGACATGGCACTCGACATGGTCGAAGCGATCACGGACCTTAAAGATCGTTCTACAGGTAGGACTGCAGGAAAATGTTCTAAACGTGAGTGTAATTATAGTACATTGACGGCTAACTTTTTAGTTACGAAAGCTTCTCTCCGTGTTATCCGAGATGATAGTTGTCTTACAGTTTTTAAATAAATTCCATATATTTTCATTTTAACAAAGCGATGCGATGTTAAAAAGACCGAGATCAAATTCAGCACCATTTCCAAATTTGAAACAGTAGAACAGTTGCAACGATTGAAATTTTGTAATTTACAACTCTGCTATTCAATTATTTTACTCGTTGGAGTTCAGGGCAAAAGTCCGCTAATTTTTGGCCACCTTACCTCGGTAATAGGATCTCCATGAAATTTCTGAAAAAATTGCAAGACAAACTAATTCATTCATCCAGAGTATGTAACCGAATCGTTCTTGCGAGCGATTTGAATACAATTTTCTGTCTTCGCTTTCAGGTCTCCATCTTCAGATACGAGTTGGTATTCACAGCGGTGCTGTGGTGGCTGGCATTGTTGGCTTAAAAATGCCGCGATATTGTCTGTTTGGTGATTCAGTGAACACGGCATCGCGTATGGAGGCGACCAGTCAGGCGATGCAAATTCACATATCGCAGTCCACGCGGGAACTATTGTCGCCTTCGTACAAAGTGAAAGAACGAGGGGAGATAGAGGTGAAGGGCAAAGGTACGGAAGATCGTGATTGTTCGTCCGACAAATCGTTTGACGCGCATAAATTAAGGCTTTAATCATCTTCTGTCAGAAGTAGTTTATAGTCCTGCAATGTGTAAACTGACATATTTATATTTTAGGGACGATGAAAACCTATTGGCTGGAGAAAAGGGAGCACAGGTCATCATCGACAAAGGGGATTACTATTCAAGAACCGCCTCAGTGGCACACAAGAAACATCGAGAAGCGAGTTTCAGCGGGTACCTCCTCCGGCTTCACAGCGTCGACCATGTTCGACAGTCAACATTGTTTAGACACGTCGTCTAGACGAGGTTCCAAGATGGTTTCTCCAACCCTCCCCGACTCGTCATTTCTTCCAGAAGAAAGGAGGATCTATTCGCCCATCACATTTCAGGATGTTGCTCGGAGATCAGTCGCTAATTCACCGACGAAGAACACCGACACGAGGGGTAGGTCAATAATTATTTATCAAAATGTCGCTTGTTAATAATACAGACTTGTTAAAAATAATTGTACCAGGCGTCTAAAATGAAAGAGCGTTCTTCTTTTTAATATAACGATCATGCTTTATTTATCAAAATTAATACGCAGCTACAGATTTACTACATCTGTTCCTTTATTGAATTTCAACCTCAAATTGGAATTGTATGTGCAATTTAATATTGTAGTTTAATGTTTAAATATATTTCGACAGTACGAACAATCCCTTTAACCGTAGCTTATAACGATGGCTGAGATGAGAATTTATCATATTTATTAAATATATCCCAAACGGTTGGGAATAGAAACAAATGTTACAAGCGAAAGTTAAATGGTTTCGGATGGTGCATAACATGCAAATAATTTTATTCGCTTTTGTGCATCGGTGCATCAGAAAAATGAAGCTGCACTTCTTTTTTTTTTTTTAAAGGGAAACCTATATTTTTGACGACACAGATCATACAACATATATTATTATAATGTAACTATATAAGTATTATGTGCGTAGTGGTATATTTTATAATCTCCAGTTGATCCACCCATACGGTAAATTTTGCAGACTGCAGATCGAACTCTATGGGAGCGGTGATCACCAGGAACATGGACATGTATAATTCCCTTCTGAACGACACGGAGGAACATTTTAGACAGCACAGGGATAGTTTGTCCTCGCGTGCCGAGAATCCATCGGCTGGGATGCACACGAAGCTGGAGATAAACGTGAAGGCTAGCTCGAGCTCGGCATCCACGGAATCGCGCGACGACAGAGCATCTTTGGCCGACTTGGACGTCCCCAAACGCGAGAAGGATGTATTCTGTAAGAAAGGCAAGGGACACAGCGCGGGATTTCATAGCGATAACAGCAACGCGCAGTCGCTTACGCAACAGGACCAATGCTGCCCCGGCTTCACCATGTCGAAGAGTGGTAAAATGCGTCATCAAAACAACGGTTGCAGCATCGTCTAATAAATAAATTCGTCATGTTTTTAACGATTGATTTTGCCTTCTCGACGCGTCGAGCACCATGACGGATGCTCCCGTCGATCACGGCCGAGCTCGTATTCACCGCGATAAATATGATCTCCAGTTCTCAGTTGGTCGACGATCGATGACGAGAATTCGTTACAATCTGAATTATTGGACGGTAGAACCTGCGTTTATTAATAGTTGCCGCTATACTTTGAACATAGTGCTAGCATTGTACTCCGCCGGATACGTCAATTGGGAACAAAAAAAACTAAAGCGTCTAGCGTCGGGACAAAAAATCGTGACCGTTTTGCTGCAGAGTCGAATAAGGATGCGCTGGTCACGTGTCTTTGAAAAAAGACGGCGCACCCACCAATAGACGACACTTTTTTTTAGATCTCGTAATACTAGACGCCACGATCGCGGCGCTAGCGTCTTGTCCTGGCATAATTTCCAGGCTTTTTCTTCTTAGAGGAGCATATTATTCTTTTTCGACCAAATACTGAAATCCACTTGTATTTTATATTCGTTCGAGTGGTCGAACGCTAATTATTTGAACAAAATGTTGCCCATCTCTGTAATATCCCATTTATATTTTAAATAAATTTTGCCCATCCCTGTACCGAACGAAGATGATATTCTGCAATTCGCGAAAATTGCATTCGGAAGTGTCTTAAATGTAATATATAGAATACAGTTATCACGCATGTTAACCTTAATTCATATATCGAAATAAATATAAATTGGGTTGTCCGGAGAACGCCTAGAGTGCAGTTCCTCCGACTTCTCTGCGAGTTAAATTTTAGTTTCGCGAAGACGATACGTAATGTAGATAATTTCAATATGTACTTAACAGTTAAACTGGCGCGATACTGTAACCGCACCGGAAACAGAGGCATTATCGGTAAATATTTATAAAGAAACTACGCGATGAACTGTTATAAAGTTTTAAGAAACAAAATCCGGTCCGGATTTTAAGAAACAGTATCCTTTATTTATTTAAAGAAAATAACGAGGTCGTTTATTCTAATATAAAACTCTAACATTAAAAACCTTTTCTAAAGTCGCTTAATTATTAACAATAATTTTATTACAATTTTTAAGTACAGTTATTGTATCAGAGAACTATTTTAATCGACCAATTAGTTTGATCTTCCTCCCTCTAATTACAAAGATATAGTTGTATGTGTAGTAGGCATGCGTTGACTTTGATACGATACATGATTACAATAACTAAAAACAAAAAATCCAATTTAAAGTGGTTCTTTCCCCACTGGGTTAGTTAAAACAAAACTTAAATACAGAAAGTATTAATAACGATATATTTTCTATAATGAATTACTTAAATTATTATTAGATTATGATATTTAATAAAAAGAATCTCGAGTGCGTGTGTAAGAGAGGGAAAGGAATATGTACGACAAGGATAGAGTGAGCTCAGGGAAAGATAGAGAAAGGTATATAAAAGACAAAGATACAGCGAGCGTGAGGGAAAGAGAGAGAAAGGTGTATATATATATAAGACAAGGATACGGTGAGGGAAAGAGAGAGAAGGGAACGTGTGCGACAAGGATAGCGATTGCGGTGGCGCCATCTACTAACAGAACGCTCAAGCTTGTCGAGAAATAGTTCCATCATTTCGCCGCTAGATGGTGCCAACCTTTTGCCATACGTTTACATGTAAATTAATTCATTAATTTATGTTATTAAACAATGAATGTTAACGAGAATGCTCATGAAGCATTACAAAATTTACCTGTAATAAGAATTTTCGGTTTTATTACGTTTTTGAGAATTTAAGTAGCTGGCGCCATCTAGCGGCGAAACGGTGGAACTATTTCATGACAAGCTTGAGCGTTCTGTTAGTAGATGGCGCCACCACAATCGCTATCCTTGTCGCACATGTTCCTTTCTCTCTCTTTTCCTGCACTAACTCTATCCTTGTCTTTGATGTACCTTTCTCTCTCTTTTCCTGCACTCACTCTATCCTTGTCTTTGATGTACCTTTCTCTCTCTTTCCCTGACCTCACTCTATCCTTGTCTTACATATTCCTTTCCCTCTCTTACACACGCACTCGAGCTTCGGGTGTTTGGCCGCGAGATGGCGAGTCGGTCGTCGGTCACGAATGATAGCTATATGTCATACGTGGATTCCAAGCATATATATTATCAATTTAAAAACAAAATCGATAGCTATCCTTATCGTACATGTTTCTTTTTCTCTCGCACTCACTCCGTACCCCTACTTGAACTTCTCATGATTACTAACTTGAGGAACGCTCTTGGAAAACGTTCATAATTATTTAATAACAATCAATGTCGTATGGAAAATCATTCTTGAATGTTGTCATTGATCTAAACCTTATATCAACAGCGCTAAAGCGTTAAAATTGTTTGCAAAAAGTTAGAAAACAATTCATATACTGAAATTTAGTCTTTAACTTAATCGTAAGTGAGAAATGGGAAAAGATATGTTAGTATGGAAAGCAATTAAACAAAAATATATAATTTAAACTTCTATTCATTTCCTAGCACATTTCCCTTTAATTTCCCTCCTTTCTCTGGTACCCCTCCTCTTTGATAAAGTGATCCAGATACAAGAGGTAAGTTTCGAGTTAAAATTAAAACTTATTCCACCTATTCGAATATCATGATCGCCTGATACGAAAGGTAAGTTTCGCGAATAAAAAATATGAAACCTCTTCGCTCATCACGTTTACCTGATACAAGAGGTAAGTATCAATATTCAATTAAAAGTTATGCCACTTCTTCGAGTATCATATTCTCCTGATACGAAAATGTAAAATTCGGGCCAGAATTTGGTACGTACCATACATACCTCGTGCCACCTCTTCGCACATCATGTGCTCCTGATACCAAAATGTAAAATCGGCCAGAATTCCCATACGTACCGAAAATGTGCCCCTTGAAT